CCTGGATTTTCATAAAAACTAACCAAGACCTCCAATTGCTTCTGATCCTTTGTCTCTTCCGTTAGTTTCGTAGGGTGGAATTTCAGAGACATATAATGATGAATTTCTTTTTAATTACATTTTCAAAAAATGCTAAAGTCTTTAAGATTTTTATGTGGCGAAAGGATTTTTTTTTTGGGGGGGGGTAATGAAAGCTATGGTCACTGTACTGAGAATTGAACCTATTACCTCCAGATGACCACAGTGGCTCGCTAGAAGAACAAGTGTACTTCGACACCCATAGGGGTGGTGAGTTGGTCTTGTGTCAAAGTACACTTGTAGCACATATGTACACATTGTACCCTGGTAATACCTAAAGAATAAGTGAATCCTAAGGATTTAATTTGAATTTTAATGTGAACGGCATGCTGTCTTCTATTTTAATTTCTAGAGCGTAGGAGAAGAAAATCGTATAGAGTCTGTGCCGTACCAGGAATGTCTGTATTACCTGAGGACATATGGCAGCTATCTGGATCACATATGTTTCTTACGCCAGCACAGCTATTGGATGAAAGCAGCACAGTTTGCTGTGGACTACGTAAGTTGGCTGTTGCTTGGTCATTTATACTTGTTTATCTACACAAGGAGCGGCAGGCCAAGCAGTTAGTAATGCTAGTTTCTCATGTGGAGTATTCAGCTTTGAATCCTTGCGAGGTCGTGGATTTTTTTTCTGTTGAAGGCAAAAATAAAATCCTGAATTGCACAGTCCGTGGCGACAGCACTAACCATGTTGCCCAAAATCCTCAGCTCAAAGGCCCCCCCCCCCCCCCCACCTTTCCCACACCACAACAGTAGGAATATGCAGGACATTTTTGGGAGTCAGTTTCACATTCAGTCATTTGTACACTCAGTCGTTTGCTGATTCAGTCAGTCGAACCATCATGTTTTATGAGACTGTTATATGTTTATAATGTTTTGTGTGTGTGTGTGTGACATAATTCTAGTTTCATAATATTACTTTCTTAAAAAATGCATAGAAAGTTGTGATTTAACCAAGCAGACAGACAAGTGAATGAGGCAGACATTGAAGAATCAGATGAAATCTCTAAAATTACCAACTATGTTTGCCTTCACTATTGGCATAGAAAATGTTGAATATGTTTTCAGTGTATCTGGAATTAAAGTTAATGCATGTGAAAACCAGTGCTTGAGGAAAATTGTGAAAATAAAAATAGGATGAATTCAAGAGCGGTGAAGAAATAAGAAAAACATCTGCTGCCTTCCACTGGCTTTAGAATCAGCTGTACACACATGCCGCAATTGTAACTGACTCACAGAGCATTTTGAGAAAGGTGGAGACAGGTATGCTTTGTGCAGAGTGGCTGGCATCACTTCAGAGGTCCCGGGTAGTTAGCATTCTTTGGATATTTTTTTTTTCAGGTTATGCCGGTGTGTTGGGAAGTGAGCAGGCAGATAGACTGGCTGGCTCTGCACCTCTTGATAGTGAATTGATATATGACAAGTTATATATTATGAGGGCCCTTTGGGAGTGAGTGAAAAATACAGAGGCGCAGATGGATCATTACAGTCTGAAGAGAATGACTCTGCGAGGAGCTACCAGGGAATCTGGCCAACTATCAACACTCAGGGGAAGGATGAGACGGATTTACAATCAGACGGTTACTGGTGCCATCAAAATTGGAACTCTTCGCTTGCAGCTGAAGATGGGAACTGAGCACTCCCGAGTGCTGTGATGTGATTCCTAATTCAACATTGTAACAACAGTTTCAAGACAGAGAAGATGGCGCTAAACTGGACACATCGTGAACAGAAACAAACAAAGAATCACTAGACAGAGACTACAATGGGGAATGAGGGAAACTGAGGAAGCAAAGCCATTCAAAAACAGAAACCTAAAATCAAAGTTGAAGAGAGATGCCAAGGTTGCTGGACTAGATTCCATCTATGATATCAAAGAGATTAGGGAGTTGCCGTGGCGGAGCACCTAGACACTCACCTGTGGATTGGAAGGCTGTGGGTTTGCTTCCTGGCGGAGCCAGACTTTTTTTTTTTTAAATGACCTTGGCTCCTATGTCGACCTAGCCTTGAGAGGAAGTAAAGGTGGCCGGCTTGATGCTTACCACATCACCCATCTTGTGCCCATTGGTCTATAAAATATAGGTCTAACCCTATATGCCTATAACTCCTTAAAGGCGTGGAAAAGGGTTCTTTACTTTTACTTTTTTTTTAAATCAAAGAGCTGACACAGGACAGAATGGAATGGAGGAATAGACTTAGCCTTATGTGACACGTAATGACACAACAGGACAGTGAATTAATCAGTGACATGTAATGACACAACAGGACAGTGAATTAATCAGTGACACGTAATGACACAACAGGACAGTGAATTAATAAGTGACATGTAATGACACAACAGGACAGTGAATTAATCAGTGACATGTAATGACCCAACAGGACAGTGAATTAATTAGTGACATGTAATGACCCAACAGGACAGTGAATTAATCAGTGACACGTAATGACACAACAGGACAGTGAATTAATTAGTGACATGTAATGACCCAACAGGACAGTGAATTAATCAGTGACACGTAATGACACAACAGGACAGTGAATTAATCAGTGACATGTAATGACACAACAGGACAGTGAATTAATCAGTGACACGTAATGACACAACAGGACAGTGAATTAATTAGTGACACGTAATGACCCAACAGGACAGTGAATTAATCAGTGACACGTAATGACACAACAGGACAGTGAATTAATCAGTTACATGTAATGACACAACAGGACAGTGAATTAATCAGTGACACGTAATGACACAACAGGACAGTGAATTAATCAGTGACATGTAATGACACAACAGGACAGTGAATTAATTAGTGACACGTAATGACCCAACAGGACAGTGAATTAATCAGTGACATGTAATGACACAACAGGACAGTGAATTAATCAGTGACATGTAATGACCCAACAGGACAGTGAATTAATCAGTGACACGTAATGACACAACAGGGCAGTGAATTAATCAGTGACATGTAATGACACAACAGGACAGTGAATTAATTATGACACTAATGACCCAACAGGACAGTGAATTAATCAGTGACATGTAATGACACAACAGGACAGTGAATTAATCAGTGACATGTAATGACACAACAGGACAGTGAATTAATCAGTGACATGTAATGACCCAACAGGACAGTGAATTAATTAGTGACATGTAATGACCCAACAGGACAGTGAATTAATTAGTGACATGTAATGACCCAACAGGACAGTGAATTAATCAGTGACATGTAATGACCCAACAGGACAGTGAATTAATCAGTGACACGTAATGACCCAACAGGACAGTGAATTAATTATGACACTAATGACCCAACAGGACAGTGAATTAATTAGTGACATGTAATGACCCAACAGGACAGTGAATTAATCAGTGACATGTAATGACCCAACAGGACAGTGAATTAATAAGTGACACGTAATGACCCAACAGGACAGTGAATTAATCAGTGACATGTAATGAGACAACAGGACAGTAAATTAATCAGTGACACGTAATGACACAACAGGACAGTGAATTAATCAGTGACATGTAATGACCCAACAGGACAGTGAATTAATCAGTGACACGTAATGACCCAACAGGACAGTGAATTAATTATGACATGTAATGACCCAACAGGACAGTGAATTAATCAGTGACACGTAATGACCCAACAGGACAGTGAATTAATCAGTGACATGTAATGAGACAACAGGACAGTAAATTAATCAGTGACACGTAATGGCACAACAGGACAGTGAATTAATCAGTGACATGTAATGACCCAACAGGACAGTGAATTAATCAGTGACACATAATGACCCAACAGGACAGTGAATTAATTATGACACTAATGACCCAACAGGACAGTGAATTAATTATGACACTAATGACCCAACAGGACAGTGAATTAATTATGACATGTAATGACCCAACAGGACAGTGAATTAATTAGTGACATGTAATGACCCAACAGGACAGTGAATTAATCAGTGACACGTAATGACCCAACAGGACAGTGAATTAATCAGTGACACGTAATGACACAACAGGACAGTGAATTAATCAGTGACACGTAATGACCCAACAGGACAGTGAATTAATCAGTGACATGTAATGACCCAACAGGACAGTGAATTAATTATGACACCCAACAGGACAGTGAATTAATTATGACACTAATGACCCAACAGGACAGTGAATTAATTATGACACTAATGACCCAACAGGACAGTGAATTAATTATGACACGTAATGAGACAACAGGACAGTGAATTAATTATGACACTAATGACCCAACAGGACAGTGAATTAATTATGACACTAATGACCCAACAGGACAGTGAATTAATTATGACACTAATGACCCAACAGGACAGTGAATTAATAAGTGACATGTAATGAGACAACAGGACAGTGAATTAATAAGTGACATGTAATGAGACAACAGGACAGTGAATTAATAAGTGACATGTAATGACCCAACAGGACAGTGAATTAATAAGTGACATGTAATGACCCAACAGGACAGTGAAATAATAAGTGACATGTAATGAGACAACAGGACAGTGAATTAATTATGACACTAATGACCCAACAGGACAGTGAATTAATAAGTGACATGTAATGAGACAACAGGACAGTGAATTAATAAGTGACATGTAATGAGACAACAGGACAGTGAATTAATAAGTGACATGTAATGAGACAACAGGACAGTGAATTAATAAGTGACATGTAATGAGACAACAGGACAGTGAATTAATAAGTGACATGTAATGAGACAACAAGACAGTAAATTAATAAGTGACATGTAATGAGACAACAGGACAGTGAATTAATGAATGTCTGCATCTGTGATAACCGTATACATCATTTATTTTCTTAGCATTGCTCCTCGGATATCTTTGTCCATGGGCTGATGGTGCCAGCGATGAACTCGGGGGAGATGAGCCGGCTGCTGGAACAGATGTTGATGCTGGACCCAACCCTGGAGAAGTGGACAGCATACCTGATGGCTACCTGTAAGCACCTGCTGAAGCAGAAGTACTTCAACACCTTGTACCATGTGCAGCTCTTCATGAAGGTCAGTACTGTCATCAGTTCTTTTTGTTGTCTGTGGTAGCCTCAGCTTTTCATGTTGGTGTCAGGGTATGCTGGTGTGAAGGGAAACCTACATGCTGATAGGCTTGCTGGTGGATGCTACTATGGAAAGGGGTTGAGCAATAGACAGGGCTTATATACTGAATGCTGTAGGAGACAGTGATTGCATAAATCAAGTGATAACTGTGATTCTGCAACCATGATTAAACTGCAAGAAGAGCAGGTAACAAGAGTGAGGACAGGTGAGAGCACTTTGGAGGATGCACCCCAAAAAAATAATAATAATAATAATAAACCAACGCAGAATTGATGAAATCGACTGCAACATGTTGAGAGATATACTGAGTACTACTTTAGTTGTTGTTATTGCTCATAAACAACTTATACAATTACTACTTTGTGTTCTGCTGCCATTCATATTCATGTGTCTCCAGTGCGGCGGGGGGGGGTTGTAAATTTGAAAGAGAGCATTTTGGAGATCCATTGCAGCCTCCATTGGGGAAATGACACCTGATGGTTGATTGACTGGTTGATTGACTGTAGATCTCATTATTAGTATCCTTTCTTTCCCTAATGAAGTTAGTAAAACATAGTTATGTAGATGACTTGCCTGTGCCTGTTGTTGACTGTATCTTCTCTCTATTTATGGATCCAGGACTATATCCGGGCCGCCATGACATGCATAACCCACTTCTACCAGCGGGGAGCTACCAGTTACTTGGACCTCAGTGGGCGACTACAGTTCCTGTTTACTGCACAGCATCATCTTGAGGTTAGATGCTTTTTAGAAAACTCCTCTTTAGTGATCACTGTCTGTAGTTACTTCTGGTTGATGATTTTTTATTTTTTTTAGTTGTTCGGTAGTTGCATGCTTTTCTTTATCTCTAACAGCAGTTTTCTTCTTCTTCTTCTTCTTCTTCATCTTCTTCTTCTACTTCTTCTTCTACTTCTTCTTCTTCTTCTTCTACTTCTTCTTCTTCTTCTTCTTCTTCTTCTTCTTCTTCTTCTTAGCATTCACCAGCTGTCAACTCTGGCAGAAAATTCTGGTTGTTTGTCCATTAATGGACTGTTTTGTTCCAGAACTTGAATGTTGCATGTATATCCATTTTACAGATCTGGCTTATTTGGATGCTGTTGATTCCTCCCTCTTAGACAGATTTATTAGTGGACATGGGGTGTAGCCTGGAGTGGCAAGAAATGAACATTTCACCAAGGGGGCAAGACATTTAACTAATCAACACCAAACAAGAGTCATCAGATATTTTACACTTGTGGAGCTTTTGAGGTGGAGATCGGATGATCTGTGTGATCTGTCCAGAGTGCTGTGATGATAATCATCCTTCTTCTTCTATGTTTACTGGCTGTAAGCTCTGGCGGAAAATCCTTGCTGTTCATCCATTTTGACTTTGGGTTTGTGCCAGGGCCTGAGTTTTCGTGTACATATGTTTTACTGGATTATTTTTGTGCAGTTGGTTGTCCCTAGCCGCTCAGGCAGATACACTCTGACTTTGAAGGAAGTCCGCAGTTAGTCGACTCTTATGACTTGCTTAACGGGGAGGCAATCGGTCTGTTATTTTTTTCCCACAATGGGGCCCCCGGAACCCACACAGGGACCTTAATCCTAACTGATCAGTAATAATTTATTTATCAAAAGAATTGTTGTGTTTTGAATACATGTTATGTATAGCGGTTGGATGCAGTGATTGAAGGCACTGGGTGTATGCAGGTGGTGGATTGAATTGTTGAGTGCAATGAGTGAATGTTGACATCCCCAAAAAAATCTCAAAATTAATTCTTATACAGTTGAACAGGGTTTCTAGGATTTGCTCCTGTTGGATCACATCTGATTAGTAGCTCTTTGAGTCTCTGGCTTGTTAACTCTTTCAGTAAAGTTACTGATCCATTTCCACATCTTCCAGCGTATTGGGCCTTTAAGGCTAGAACTATATTTTATAGACCAACTGGCACTTGGTGAGTAATGTGGTCAACATCACGCCTGTCGCCTTTACCTCCCAGGACTTTACCTGGTACCCATTTCAAGCTGAGTCGAACTGGAATCCAAGGTCATCTTTTAAGAAAAACAAAAGTCTGGCTTTGACAGGACCTGAACCTAGGACCTTCCAGATTGACAGACGAGCCTCTAGCCACTACACCTCTCTCAGTACTAACCAACAGCTACTTTGGGTAGCTGTGCTGCATTAGGTAATAAGTGCAGGTGAATCTGAAGTTTATGTTGTGCTTATCACATTTTACCCAAAACTCAAAGTTCTGGGGTAGGACCAAAGTCCAAACATGGACAAACAACCAGAAATTTGTGCTGAAGTTTATGTTGTGCTTATCAGATTTTACCCAAAACTCGAAGTTCTGGGGTAGGACCAAAGTCCAAACATGGACAAACAACCAGAAATTTGTGCTGAAGATTATGGCTGGTGAATGCTTAGAAGAAGAAGATAGTTAATGTTGTGCTCAGAAGGTTTTTCAGGGTTGATTTGAACTAGCTTCATTATTTCATTCATGATGCAGTAAACATTAGTACATGATGATTGGCTTTGTTCTCATGCAGGCTTATCTCGATCCGGGTCAGTGGGGCAGTGTGCGCCACCCTCTTGCTGCAACCACGCCAGTGACCGCTGGGAAACAGCCCCCACAGTGGGACAAACAGCTCCCAGAATCCTCTGCTAGAATGACTTTGTCACCTGAGGAAGTGAAAAAGTAAGTAGAAGTAAAGGAAATGACTTTTTGTCTCATAGTATTTTGAAGTATGAAGTTAAATTAGTGCAGATAGCTACATCAAACAGACCCTCAAGTAGCAGAGAACAAACGAATGAACGAACGACTGAACTTTATTTTCAAAGGGTCACAAATTGGGCACGCAGCCCCATCTTACATTCCGCCCTTCCAAACACCCATCTTTCACACTGCAGCTGTATTTTTATCAATAAGCATGTTATATTCATATGACAATATCCATATTATGAATATTTAAAAAAAAAAAAGAAACAAAAACACAAAAGCATGGGTGGTAAAATGCATGCACACACTAGCACACCCGCACACACACACACACACCCACTCACTTAAACACACCCCCATTCACCCACATACATACCTACCTACCCACACAGACACGCACATTCCACACACTTACATATATACAGATATACATATGCACACACAGACACACCTAGATGCAAGAGAAGCTGACACCTGAGTGACACGCCAGACATTGATAGCAAATTTTAAGAAACACCTGTGGGAAGATGAACCAAATCAACCACAACATTCATGCAGATGAAAAAGGAAGAAACAACATTAAATACCCTAATTATAACCTTTAAACACAGATTGAACAGGATCAACTCATAGAGAGAAAAAAATCAGTGCAAATAGAATGAACCACTCTCTCTGTTTAAAAACAGAAAAGGTTCCTTAACCTGCTGGTGGTACATCAGGCTTGTGAGGCTGGACTCGTATTTGTATAGACCAAGCGGCCCTTCCTGCTGGCTGCCTTAACTTCCCAGGATTCTGCCTGGTACCCATTAAAGGCTGGGTCAACCTGGGAGCCAAGATCATGTTTTTTTTTTTTAAATTGATTCCATGCGTATTTGAACCCTTGACCTTAGCATCAGCAGCTCTATCTCTGTATCTTTCACTGGATCCTCTTCATGTGACCGTTGACACACAAGGCATTCACAGATGTTCTCCATTGCTGCAGGTCTGTTGCCTTTCTGCCCATGGTATCCCATGTCATTTTACAGTCCTTCATTTTCCTTTCTGCTGTCCTCCAATTGGCTTTATGTCATTCAAGGGTTGGCTGCCTTTTTATTTCCATGCATGTACAGTAAAATTAATGCAAACATCGAGGTCAACTTCTACTGCGATATAAAGATGTGTGGAAGTGGGAAATAAATGGTACAGGTGTTGAGGTGGACTCGTAACAAAATGCCATGAACCGTTTTATGTGGAGGGGGCACGTCAGGAAGGAAATAGGAATGAAGGAAGAAATGATTGCAGTAAGGATGAGAGCTGGTGGTCTGAGGAGAAACACACTTAACACAAATGTTGACAAGAATGGTCCTGAAATCCCAGGCTATAATTGTGGAAAACTGTTCTTACGCTGGCGCGTCTTGCTATTCACACTCGCCATTGCCATGGGCAGTGTCAGGGGTCGAGAGGCGGGTGGCAAGGTCAGAGCATGAGTTTTTAAAGGTCATGCAACTTGCACTGACTGACGTACTCATTTGTACTTCTCATATTCAGCTCTGACTCCCTGAGCTTGATAAGTCCCAAGAGTTATGAATGCTGTCACATAGTTCATTGTTGATACCCTCAAAGCACATTAACACTGCAATCACGGCCATGACAACACGTACAAACTTTATCAGAATGTGGTCACAATTCGCACGAAAACGTCTGATGTAGATACAACCTGTTGAGCTCTGTTACTTTTACCTTCATTATTCTATCATTTCTACATCCATCGTTCTAAATAATTCAAGATGTTATCTAATTCTATTTAACTCAATAACTAAAGCCATTATTCATGAGGCATGGCCACACTACAGCTGTCCAGACCGTCCCCTAGGATGTCCGGTCGATGACTGTCCCCAGCCTGTTCACAACCCAGGCTCACTTTTCCTTACTTCAGGTAGTTCACATGGCCTCTGTGGCCCGTGTGCACTTCATGACAATCACATGCTGACCTTCCAGAAATTGGTTGTCCACTTAACAGTATTCCAGAACAAACCCCATGGAGAGAGAAATGCAAGCTAACATTACAAATCCAGACAAATGTGAAAGGAATATTTGACAAGAAAAACAAGATAGTGTTCAACGCAGAATGGCCACCCTCAGTTATATTGATGAAGAATACCTACAAGAACAATGGGTCATAGTCTATACAGATGGGTCCGCAGAAAGTGCAGTTAGAAATGGTGGTGCTGGAGTGTTCATAGAATTCCCAGATGGTACTAGGGATAAGTCCAGCATACCAACCGGAAAGTACTGCTATAACTATGATGCAAAAACTCAGGCTATCAAGATAGCAACAGAGAAACTGCTAAATACCAATCTTGGCTCCCAGTATGTGGTAATGCTTACAGATGCAAAATTAGTACTTGAAGCACTTCAGTCTAGGAAACTACCAGAATTGCAAACACTGCTGACACAACTGAGCCTTCAGCAAAGAGTTGTAATGCAGTGGATACCATCATATTGTGAAGTGCCTGGAAATGAGAAAGCTGATCAACTGGCAGGAGAAGGTGCGACAAAAGTGCAGCCGGATGTACCAGTCACATACCATCAAAAGAGAAGAATCATTAAATCAATCAGGAAACCACCAGCCCCAGCACAAGACGACTATTTTATTTTGGACAGATCAGAACAAGTCATTATACTCCGCCTCAGAACAGGGCACAACCGATTACGTAACCACATGTACACAAAATTCAAGATAGGTGTATCAGCTATGTGCACCTGTGGAAATGTGCCCCAGACAGCAGAGCATGTACTCGAGGACTGCACCGAATTTGACACATTAAGGCAAACCTTTTGGCCAGAAAGAACAACAGTGGAACGTAAACTCTATGGACCACTGAATGAACTAACAACAACAGTGACATTTATACAAGAGACAAAATTGCTGATAAAGACAACTTATTTCAGGCGAACGAAAGAAGAAGAAGAAGACATGTTTAATGCTTTGACAGCAGTCCCACATTCCCAGGCCCCCTCCCCACCTCCATCTCCACCCCTACATCGATCATGACTAGCAGTAAGTCCCATGCCTCCTTTTGTATTTCCTTGCTGATGCTTAACCATAGACTTTTAAGGCTGTTCAATCTTTGCATTGCTATGGCCATCCTCCTTTTAATTTCGGTTGAACAGTCTCCATTGTTGTTTATAATAAAGCCTAGATATTCAAAGTTTGTGACATTTTCAATTTCTTCCTCATTTATTGTTATTTTTGGGTGACAGCCAGTTTTATCTGTGGACATTATTTTCGTTTTCTTTAAATTCAAGAACAGATTTTGATCTTCACAAATGTAATCCAGTCAGTCAAATGTTAACATACCTTACTCATTGCCCATCTTATATATAATTGACTTTCTATTATTCAGGCATATTCGCACCATAAGCCTGCAGATTGAAGTGACCAAGTTCTTGGAGCAGTGTTTAACTCAGTCTTTGGGAGTGGCCGGTGCAGGATCAACACAGTTCCTTCCCAGGTCCTCCACACAGATCTCCACTTTGTTTGGCCCAGGCTCTGCCCGCACTGAGCTGGTTAGCATGGTGGGTCAGCAGATTGTGGTGTAAATCCTCTTGGGCTGTTCATGTTAAAAAATTTCCTCCATCTGTTTTGTTTCTTCTTTTGCTTTTGTTCTCATTTCATTTTTAAGAGGATCGACTAAAAGTAAAAGACCCTTTTCCATGCTTTCAGATGTGTGTGGCATATAGGGCTAGACCTATATTTTTTGGACTAATCAGCACGTGGTGGGGTATGTGATCAGCATCAAGCCGGCCGCCTTTACTTCCCTGGTACCCACTCAAGCCTGGGAGCCTAGGTCATTTTTTAAAAATGTCCGGCTCTACCAGAACCCAAACCCCATGACCTTCCGATCCACAGGCGAGTGTCTAGCTATTACACCACGGTGGCTCCCAAGAGGATCAGCTGGCTGAGCAGTTTAGAATGCTGGGCTTTCATTCCGGAGACCCAGGTTCAGATCCTAAGTAAGGGATCTATTTTTCTTTACAGGGTTTTAAAAAAAAATCCTGACCTGCACAGTCTGTGGCTTCGCTTCAGAGGTCACTTCGGAGGTCACTTTGGAGGTCATGAGTGAAAAGCATTGTCTGATCATTTTTCAAGGTATCCTGGTGTGTTGGGAAATTAATAGACAGACATATTGGCTGGCTCTGCACAACTTGATGGAATACTGATGCATGATAAGACAGGCGTGGCGAAGGCCTTGTAAGAGCATGTGTGCAATTCAGAGGAGCAAATGTATCATCGCAGTCTGTGGCTTCACTTCAGAGGTCACAAGTGAAAAGCATTGTCTGATCATTTTTCAAGGTATGCTGGTTTGCTGGGAAATTAATAGGCAGACATATTGGCTGGCTCTGCACAACTTGATGGAATACTGATGCATGATAAGGCAGGCATGGTGAAGGCCTTGTGAGAGCATGTGTGCAATTCAGAGGAGCAAATGAATCATCGCAGTCTGGTGAGACTGATGCATTTAAGTAATGAATCAGGCTGATACTTGACACTGAGAGAAAAGACCACAGACGTATAATCAGACTGCTACTGGCACCGTTGGTATTGGAACTCTGCACTGGCTGCTCAAGATTGGGACGGAGCGCTTATGGGAATGCCCCAAAAGCTGTGATGTCGATTTCTGAATCAAATCAACTCAGCTTTTGTGGATGATAATCTGAAATACTTAAGTGATCCTAGAAAATGAAGAGTCACTGAAAAGTGCTTTATACGAAGCGAACAGAAGGGCCTGTTCAGAGATCTTTTTCTGCCCTGGCACCGTGAAGCATTCCAGGAGTAGAGAAAAGAAGAAATAATAGATTTGATTAACTGCCTCATCTGTAAACAACTTTTCTTGTCCAGGTTGTTCTGAGTGGGAATAATTTTGCTGCTGGCTTTGACTTGGGAGTCAGAATTGTACGGGTAAGTTATTTCTTCTTCTTCTTCTTCACGTTCACCAGCTGTAAACTTTGACGGAAAGTTCTGGTTGTTCATCCACTTCTGGACTGCAGTCCTGTTCCAGAACCTGAGTGTTGCGTGGGCATCCATTTTACAGATCTGACTCATTTGTATGCAGGCTGCTGGTTCTTTGCCTCTCAGGCAGATGCACTCCGACTTTGAAGGAAGCTTCCAATTTGTCAACTCTCACGACATACTTTTTTTGGTAGGTAGTGGGTCTTTTTTTTTGTTCTCCCTATAATAGGGCCCCGGAACCCGCACGGGAAGTTATTTCACATGAATACATGTTTGTAAGCATCAAACTCAGAGGTTTGTTCCATCCGGAACCCAGTTAACAAGGGCTCAGGAATATCGCAGCTTTACAGTAAATAGACATAATGCAGCTATGTCACTTGGATGTAGAGATATTGAAATAAGAATACAAAAGGCAAGAGGGGCTTTCATAGCACTAGGGAATTTGTGGAGGTCAAAAGAAATTAAAAGAAATACTAAACTAAAAATTTTTAATTCTAATGTTAAATCAGTACTATTGTATGGGGCGGAAACATGGAGAACAACGAAGGCAATTACTAATAAATTACAGACATTCATTAACTGGTGCCTGCGCAGAATAGAGGGAATAAAATGGTATGATAGAATAACTAATGTAGAACTTTGGGAGAGAACTAAACAGGCTCCAGTGGATCAGGAGGTGAGGAAAAGATGCTGGTGTTAGATAGCGCACACACTGAGAAAACAGGAGAACAGCATAACTAGAATGTCTTTGCATTGGAACCCACAGGGGCATAGGAATAAAGGAAGGCCAAAAAACACATGGAGAAGAGAGCTGGAGAATGAGGTTAGAAAGATTGGGAGGACATAGGGAGAGCTCCATGCAATGGCGAAGGATAGAACGACTTGGCGTGAGTTGGTTGAGGGCCTATGCTACATTGGGGGATAGAAAGGCAGAAGAAGAAGTTAACAAAGGCTCAGGAATATCGCAGCTTTGCAGTAAATAGGCATAATGCAGCTGTGTCACTTGGATGAGCGACAAGAAAAAGAAGAAAAATACAGAAGTCCTGAAAAAATTGTGAATGTAAAAAGATACTGAAATAAATACAAAAAGAAAGGCAGTGGGAATACTCTGGCCACATTAGAAGACATAACACTTTTAAAACCAATACTGGCAGGAAAAGTCGAGGACAAGAGAGCAAGAGGTATACAATGAAACAAGGGGAGTGATACAAGTGGGAAGACATTCAAGAAAGGGACGAACAACAACCTGGGAGAGTGTGCAACCAAGAACAGAGTGTTTTGGAGATCCATTGCAACCAACCTTCAGTGTGAAGATGGCACCTGATTGATGACCTGTTTGTGTTTTTAATTGACCCTGATATTGTAGTAATTCAGCAGTCTAATCATTTTTGTTTTAATTATGATGATTCTTTTTCTTCATTGCATTCACCGGCTGTAAACTCCAGTGGAAAGTTCTGGGTGTTTGTCCACCTGCTGACTTTAGTCTTGTTCCAGAACCTGAGTGATGTGTGCACATCCATTTCACAGATCTGGCTTATTTGTATGCAGACTGTTAGTTCCTTGCCTCTTGGGATGTAGGGTGCAGTTGTAGGACGAGGAGGCAGAGGCTGACCACTGTGAAGGTGGATAGAAGACATTGAAGATGCATTGACTATGAAAGCACATAGGGCTGAAGAATTGGCTAGAGAAAGAGAGACTTTCAGATGTGTCGTTAAGAGAGCGATGTCGTACAGGACATAAGAAGTATCACAGTAACAGCCTCTTCTTCTTCTTCCTCAGCATTCCGAGCCCTTGAGGTTCATTGCTGCAAATATAAACTGCCTCCATTCATCTCTTCTCTGGTTGGTCTTCTTCAGCATTCCGAGCCCTGGAGGTTCATTGCTGCAAATATAAACTGCCTCCATTCATCTCTCTGGTTGGTCTTCCTCAGCATTCCGAGCCCTTGAGGTTCATTGCTGCAAATATAAACTGCCTCCATTCATTTCTCTGGTTGGTCTTCTTCAGCATTCCGAGCCCTGGAGGTTCATTGCTGCAAATATAAACTGCCTCCATTCATCTCTCTGGTTGGTCTTCTTCAGCATTCCGAGCCCTGGAGGTTCATTGCTGCAAATATAAACTGCCTCCATTCATCTCTCTGGTTGGTCTTCTTCAGCATTCCAAGCCCTGGAGGTTCATTGCTGCAAATATCACCCACCTCCATTCATCTCTCTGGTTGGCCCTGTCTTTCCAGTAGGTGATTGAGTGTTTGTAGGTCTGTCTGGATTTATTATCTATCCACCATCTTCTTGTTTTGCCTCATGGTCTATGACCATTCAACTCCCTTGAGTATTCAGTTTTTAAACGCCTCTTCTTCTTCTTTGCATTCACCAGCTGTAAACTCCAGCAGAAAGATCTGGATATTTATCCACCACTGGACTTTAGTCTTGTTCCAGAACCTGAGTGTTGCATGCATATCCATTTTACAGATCTGCCTCATTTATATGCAGAGTGTTGGTTCCTTGCCTCTCAGGCAGATGCATGCTGACTTCAAAGAAATCTCCCAGTTAGTTGACTCTTATGACATGCTTTTGGGTAGGCAGTGGGTCTATTCTTGTTTTTCCCACAATAGGGCCTCGGAACCCACAGGGAGAGAACCTCTCTGTCATCAGATATTCTCTCAGTATGCCCCAGCCATTTCAGCCTGTGAGGCTTCATGATACCAATAATCAGTGGGGATTTAATCAGAGTAGAAATTTGGTTATTAACAGGCTATTAACAAATCAAATTTGTGAAATATCATTAATGCATATTATTGATATTTCTCCTCACTCCAGGAATGTCGGTTAAATCCAACTGTGATATTCACCCACTGTTCTCGAGAACTAGCCAAACAGGGCAGGTTTACAGACATCAGCACCCTTATCCAGTCCTTGATCCGTGAGAGACTGGTGGATGACGACGGGATCGATGAAATTGTTGGGGCCTCTTTGCTGGTTATCGCTGATAGTCATAACCAGGTATGCTCTTTGCTTTTGTGGTAACTATCATCACTATCATTAACAAGTGCCTTGTGTTGCAGATTGTCTGCTTGTTTTCCATGTTTTCACTGTTGAATGTTGAGTTAAGAATTGACATCACAGCACTCGGGACACTTCCATAAGTGCTCTGTCCCCCATCTTCAGCAGTAAAAGTTCCAATTCTGATGGTACAAGTGACTGTCTGATTGTACATCAGTCTCGCCTTTCCCTTGAGTGTTAAGTGTCGGCCAAATCCCCTGGTAACTCCTGTCAGCGCCTTTCTCCTCAGATCATAATGTTCCATCTGTGACCGCAATGTTTACTTGCTCCCGAAGCGCCCTAACAACATCTAGCGTGTCATACATCAACCCTCCCTGTCATGACAAAAGGTTTTCAAGAATCTTCTCTTGTATCAGTTCATGCACTGACAACCCTCCATGCTATGACAAAAGGTTTTCAAGAATCTTCTCTTGTATCAGTCCATGTACTGACAAACCTCCATGCTATGACAAAAGGTTTTCAAGAATCTTATCTTGTATCAGTTCATGTACTGACAACCCTCCATTTTATGACAAAAGGTTTTCAAGAATCTTATCTTGTATCAGTTCATGTACTGACAACCCTCCATTTTATGACAAAAGGTTTGTCAAGAATCTTATTTTGCATCAGTTCATGTACTGACAACCCTCCCTGTCACGACAAAAGGTTTTCAAGAATCTTTTCTTGTATCAGTTCATGTACTGACAACCCTCCATGTCATGACAAAATGTTTTCAAGAATCTTCTCTTGTATCAGTTCATGTACTGACAACCCTCCCTGTCACGACAAAAGGTTTTCAAGAATCTTTTCTTGTATCAGTTCATGTACTGACAACCCTCCATGTCATGACAAAATGTTTTCAAGAATCTTCTCTTGTATCTTCTTTTGTCTTCGGCTGTCTCTCTTTCCAGTTGTCACAACAGGTTCCAGATTTTCACTTCTCATAATATGGCCAGAGAATTATGTATATGCGTCTCTCTGTTTTGATAAATTATCTTCATGCCCTTACCTCTTTCAGAACATTTAAATTACTCAGACCCACCTGAAAAAAAAAACATTTTAAGCATTTTTCTGTAAAACTCCATCTCTGAGGCCTCATTGACTAATGTTGATATGTATGACTTTTGTGGCAAGTGTTTGTATGACACTGGGCTGCAAGATAGAAGTCCCAGGTGATGCTGGATTGGTAACTAGAGGGTCTGTTCAAAAGAAATGTCTGACTTGAGGCCAGACAAAATGCACTTGCTCACCTGGAGATGTGAAACCTTCAGCCCTCTGAAGAAAGTCTCTTTCAGAGGACACACACATTTCTTATAACAGTGTAGCCATTGTTGGATAGATTTCAAAGGCTTATTATTGGGATGGGAGGCACAGCCTAGCCTCTCATGACAGTTAAGTCTCTTTCAGAGGACACACACATTTCTTATAACAGTGTAGCCATTGTTGGAGAGATTTCAAAGGCTTATTGGAATGGGAGGCACAGCCTAACCTCTTATGACAGTTAGATCTCTTTCAAGAGAATTATCAGCATGAGTCCTATGTTATATTATCACAATCAACATCACTGCACATTGGGCATTCCCATTTCATGCTTAGTCCTCAAACGCAGTAGCCACTCTAAGGTACCTCTGCTTATAGTTCCCATGAGGAGTTGGTTATAATGTTGGCCTCGAAGGCGAGCTAGATTTGTTTCAGTGTCTACACTCAGGTAACGCAATCATATAAGTGGTCCCATGTATTTTTCTAATGTGTTCTTGTGTGATTCATTTACCTATGTTTACAACAGAATACACTAGCATTGTGATGGTAATCTTTATGTCTGCAGGCACAGGATGAAAGTGATGCATTGATACAGCTTCTTAGGAATGATAGCAACAAGGTTGGTCTATTTTTTAGTATTTGACTCACTTGGATAACCATAGTTTTAGAATAAATTATGGCAGACCGATATACAGTGGTACCTCGACTAGCAAAGTTAATTCGTTCCTGACTGTGGTTCATATCTCAGAAAGTTCACATCTCGAAACACATTTTCCCATTTCATTTTACAGAAAATCAATTAATCTCTTTTAAGATTTTAACAGAATGAAATTTAAAAAACGACTGTCACCTTAACTGTGAAAATACAAAGAAATGGATCATGAATGAGAAAGACCATTTTTAGGCAATAAATTGCATTTTGTTTACCATTACACATAATTCTTTATCAAAGCTTTATTTTTACATGATGTATATTTAAATGTAGTATAAAAAATCTCCTTCTATTAATTTTAAATTTTTTTTTAAATTCCTGTCTTTGTCGTTATCAGTGACTTTCTTCTGTTTCTTTGGCGAGGAAGGTTTTAAAAACCTGTCTAATGTTGTCTGTCGTTTTATTAAGACCCTTCTAAAGTGATTAATGACATTGTCATTGGAGATATTTGTGGCTCTGGAAACAGCAGCTCAATTTAGAGTCCACTTGTTCACTAATTTTATTCATCACGGTACTGCAAGGCTTATTTTATGTCACTTGTTGGTTGGTCAGTCAGTCAGCCAACCAGTCAGTCAGTCAGTCAGCCAGCCAGCCAGCCAGCCAGCCAGTCAGTCAGTCAGTCAGTCAGTCAATTGAAAGATTATCCTCATTGTACATTGAACAAGTACATAAGCGCTCGGATCCCATCTTCAGCATATCCCTCATTGTGTGGCAACTGATAACACCAGTTCTGTGTTGGTTTACTATTCTTCTTTGGCTACCTGAACAGTGTTCATGTTGGGCAACACCTCTTTTGACCTGAAGAACGTGTAGTCTTTTGAGTGTTGCCTATTCAGCGTCGTCTCCTTATCTTCTTGTCACTTGTTAGGATAGCTACCTTTTTGTTGCTATTTTCCTTCTCTGGAGACACTTTCTCTCCCTCCTCATCCCTATACTTTTTCTTGTTTGTTCATAACTCTCGTAGCTCTTCAGTGGTCAGCTCAATGTTATGCTCCTCTACCGGCTCCCCTATGTCTGCTTCATCAACTTTCAGATATATGGTCGTGCCCAGGGAGACAACAGTATCTACAATGTCAGTTTCGCTGTAAGATCCTTTCAGTGCAGTTCTTTTGTCACAATACATGTAGTGCGCATTGCATACACCACTCATTGCATCTTATTGAAAACAAATGCATAGAATGAAATGCATTCCGTTAGTGAATAATAAATTTGAATGGTTTTTTTTTACTACCACATATCTTTCAACAGATAAATGCATTCATTCTATGTGGGAAGCTGAGGTCAGCTTATCTCCTGGCGGTGAAGAGAGACCGCGTGGACGATGTCCAGAGGATAGCCGGAGCAGCACAGAGGCTTGGTCAGTCTGCAGTGAAAAATATTTGCAAGAAATGGCTGGAACAACATCAGAAATTATAAATTTTTTTTTCTGTATCCTGAAATATTTGTTTCATTATTGCTTGGCTTTTCTAGTGATACTTTTTAAAAATCATATTTATAATTATTACCATAACTTTTGCTTATAAATATTGCAATCATAGCACGACAACCTTATAGATGCTCCTTCTCTATCATTATACTAATGGCTGTAAATCATTAAACCAACCCTCTTTAGTCAACTCTTATCCCATGCCTGATAGAATACAGAGCTTCTGTTCTTGACTTCACCTCAGGACCCCAATAACATGTGGATGGGGACTTTAAAATGGCAACTTTATAGGTTATAAAGAGTTGCAATTGTAACTGCCTGCACTATAGAGAGTTGCAGTAGTAAATGTCTGAGTTATAAATAGTTGCAGTATCATGTGTGGTCTATAAATAGTTGCAGTAGCAACTGTCTGGGCTATAAACAGTTGCATTTGCAACTGCCTGGACTATAAACAGTTGCAGTACAAACTATCTGAGTTATAAAGAGTTGCAGTAGTAACTGTCTGGGCTATAAAGAGTTGAAATCGCAACTGCCTAGACTTTAGAGAGTTGCAGTAGCAAGTATCTGGCACAAAAATTAGTTAATGAATATTTTAAAGTGGCTGAAGATAGTCCTTGATATCAGTTCAGCCCAGTTATTGTTGTTTCTGCAAACAGCATGTATGAGTCTTTCAATGCTTGTCTTAATGTGTTTGTGTTATTATTTCAGTCATTTCACATTTATAATTTTTTTTTTTACTGAATATGTTACTCTTTTCATGCTTATTTCTCGTCTTTCATCATGTCATAATGATATATATGTGTTGAATCATGAATCAACATCACAGCACTCGGAACAATCCCTTAAGGGCTTCTTCCCCATCTTCAGCAGCAAGCAAAGAGTTCCAATTCTGATGGCACCGATAACTAATTGTTTATCTGTCTTGCCTTTCCCCGAATGAGCATCCACAGGTAACTCCTTGCAGCGCCATTCTCCTCAAACCACATTCGTATATGAAGGTCCCCCGTGTGGTTTCCGGGGCCCCATTGTGGGGAAAACAAGAATAGACCCACTGCCTCCCCAAAAGCATGTCGTAAGAGTCGACTAATTGGGGAGCTTCCTTTGAAGTCTGAGTGCATCTGCCGGAGAGGCAAGGAACCAACAGTCTCTATTCAAGAGAATGAGATCTGTAAAACTGATGCACATGTAACACTGAGGTTCTAGAGCAGGACTGCAGTTCAGTAGTGGACGAACAACCAGAACTTTCCGCCAGAGTTTTCAGCTGGTGAACGTGAAGAAGAAGAAGAAGATATATGAAGGTGATATTTAGCTAAATGTAGCTTTCTGTGATTGTTTCACATGTGATAGGTTATTTCCCATGTATTGGGTAAAAATAAAATGTAAAAAATTCATGCTTTTCAAATATTACCTTGCTAAAATATGGAAGTAATGAGTATTGTTTTTTGTTTCTAAACTTGCATTTGCTTGTTGATTTGCATCTTGTATGTTTGATGAACTACATGAACATATGCCCTGTACACATTTGACGGGATGTTCGACACAAATGGCTTGTTGACTTCTTCTTCTTTCGTTCACCTTTCATGGCGTGTGTGCATGGCATCCTGATTGTTGTGGTGCGCCTCCTGGCTGGTTGCCTCCGACTTCAGCACCTTGTTTTGCAAGGGTAGACTGTGATCATACTCGAGAGTGGCTCATCCATTCCTCTTTCGCTTTTACCTCATTTTTTGTCCCATCCAGTTTCCCGCTGGGGGTTGAGACCCCAACCCTTCAACTGGATTGCTGGGAAGAACAGGGTCTACCACGTGAAGGTGAGGTAGGCTTGAGCAAGAGAGGCTAATAGACATTACGAGTCTTGTATTGCGCATCATTGCTTGTTGATTTTTGTACTTAATTCTTGCTTGTTCTCTAGTATTTACTTCTGCACATGGCAACAATCATGCCAATAGTCATTGTTAATAGTATTATTATTATTATGATTATTATTATTACCATAATTACCCAAATGTACACATTTTATTTTAAAAAAGTAAAGGACCATTTTCCACACCTTTAGGCATATAGGGCTAGACCATCTTCTTCCTCCTCTTTCTTTCGCCTGAAAAAAGTTCTCTATATCACCAATTTTGTATCTTGTATAAATTTCACTGTCATTTTTTAGTTCTCGTCCATAGTTTACGTTCCACTGTTTTTCTTTCTGGCCAAAAGGTTTGCCTTAATGTGTCAAATTCGGTGCAGTCCTGGAGTACATGTTCTGCTGTCTGGGGCCCCTTTCCACAGGTGCACATGGCTAATACGCCTATCTTGAATTTTGTGTACATGTGGTTTCATAATCAGTTGTACCCTGTTCTGAGGCAAAGGATAATGACTTGTTCTGATCTTTCCATAATAAAATAGTTGTCTTTTGGTGCAACTAATGGTTTCCTGATTGATTTAATAATCCTTTTCTTTTGGTGATATGTAACTAGAACATCCGGCTGCTCTTTTGTTCCACCTTCACCTGCCATTTCATTGGCTTTCTCATTTCCAGGCACTCTACAGTTGGACGGTATCCACTGCATTGTGACTTCACTGACAGCTGAGTTGTGTCAGTAGTGTATGCAATGGGCTAGACCTATATTTTATAGACCAATCGGCACTTGGTGGGTAAAGTGGTCGACATCACGCCAACCATCTTTACTTCCCAGGACTGCACCTGGTATCCTCTCAAGGCTGGGTTGACCTATGAGCCAAGGTCATTTTTGAAGAAAGCTCGGTTCTGTCATGACCCGAACCCACGACCTTCCTATCCGCAGGCAAACTTCTAGCCACTACACCACGGCAGCTCCCTACCCAAGTATAAGACAAACTTATTTTCCAAAAGTGTAGGGTCTAAGAACAGTGTGCGTCTTATACAGTGGTGGTAGATATTTTAGCTGCGGGAGAGGATAGTCTTGTAAGACATGTTCTGGGGTCTGATTGGCATGAGGATACTGATAGAGAACTGTTTGACTCAACCAAATTGAAATGAATGTTTGTTGAGCCTAGGGCCCAGCTATTTCATCTTTCTTCATCAATGTTTCTACTTCTCATACCCCATCATAAGGCTATTCTCTGTCAACCCCAACTTATCTTACCCCATCATAAGGCTAATTTCTCTGTTCCACCCTTTCTGTACCGCAGTACATTTTATAATCATCTTAGCAGAATGTGCCTTTGCTATGAAGCTGAAGTACAAACAATGTATGTGTTATTAATTTCCAATTATTTTTTTCTATTGCTTTAGTTTCAAAATGTTTGTAAATAAAGTTTTATTTTTCCACTAAGAAACGTGTCTTGTTCGTTGATAAATGGTGGGCATGGAACTGAAGAGAGTTGATGGGAATATGGCGCAGTGGAAACACGTGACCTCATTACCAGTCCACTGAATTATCAAACTGATCATAATGAGGTGTTGAGGGCTTTTTTTTTTCTGGTGGTGCACAGTACCAGCACCTTTTTTTTTTAAAAAGGCAGTTTTGTTCGCACTGCTTGAATAAACACTTTATGGTGATTTTTCTAGAAAAAAAGTGATAATGATGAAATTGTTTTTTTGTCACTTGGGGAAAACAAGAATAGACCTACTTCTAACCCCCCCCCCCCCCCTCCCCCCCCCGCCCTCTCCCCAGCAAGCATGTCGTAAGAGTCAACCAACTGGAAGGCTGACTTTGAAGTCGAAGTGCATCTGCCTGAGAGGCAAGGAACCAACAGTCTGCATACAAAAAAGTCAGATATGTAAAATATGTGCACGCAACACTCAGGTTCTGGAACAATACTAAAGTCCAGAGGTGAACAAACAACTAGTGTTCTCTGTCAGAGCTAACAGCTGGTGAAGACAAAGAAGAACTACTTCACATTATACCAGTCAACAATAAAATACAGAGGTTTTGCAAACTAGAGAATCAAAAAATCAAAACAAGGTTGTTGAGAGAAAAAAAAATGAGACACGTAAAATATTGTGGTAATATTTAACATGTGATAACAGTGATATGGGAAGGGGGGGGGGTTCACACAAGGCTGTAAACATAAAGAAGGTGAAATAAGTGGGAGTCAGACAGCAGTCTGAGAATGTATATAAACCAAAGTGTTGGAGATCAAAGGAGCCAGCTATCAACTGCTATGGGGAGATGAAACCTGATTGGCTAATACTAAAGACACTGGTATAAATAAACATCTTGAGTGTGTCCTTGACTTTCTGCAAGAGCACCAGACTAGTGGTTACTCTAAATTGCTCGATCCTGGAGGTTAGCTTAGTTAAGCGTGATTGTACCGTCTTTGAGGTCAAGATAGGAGTTGCGAAAACCAATTTCTCATGGAAATAATCAGTAGAGGTACCTTGAAGTGGCTGCTGCACCTGTGGACTAATCACGCATGGGTATGCCCAACTTGCAAAGATGTCGGTTTGTAATTACATAACAAGTGGTGACTCTGTGGCTTAGGCTTGCCAACCAGTTTCGTAATTCCAGGATGCTAAGTTCGATCTCAGCTGCAGGCTAGTTGACAGCAGATCACCTGCATTGTTTTTGACAGTTGTACCCAAAGCAATGGCGTAAAACTGTCTTGTCACCATAAAAAAAAAACGATAAAATACCGGGGTTAATTTTTCAACATCTGCAAAGGATAGGTAACTTACCACAGACTTCAGGATTACTTATCAGCCCTAGCAATTTTAAAGGTTGAGCACACAATTATAAGTCATGTAGAAGGCAAGTACAAACAATCACATTATCACAAGACTAGCGTTATCACATTCACTGGAAAAAAAAAATATATCCTACTCTATCCCCTAAATACAATATCATTGTGTGAGACGCCGATAAGGTTGGGTGGCTATGGGTTCACCATGTCACACAATCGCCTGCATCAAGGATGAAAACATTCCTGTGGGGACCGAATCGTGATTTACTTTTGAAGAAAGTGCGAAAGGCGTCCAGAAAACTAACAGTTATTAAAATCAAACTTTAAAACAGTTTCACCTTCTAACAACTTAGTCACCTCTCTGGGGGGGGGGGGGGCGAATATTTATTTGATTTATGCCTTTTTTCGTGTCACCCACGAAAAATATAATTTCAATGAGTGGTCGATATTTCTGGGTATTGTTTTAATCGCAAGGACTGTGTAATTTTATGTTTTTCTTACAAATATTATCTTGACAGCAGCCAAGGTTTACACTATAGTGGCATTGATGACTGTCACCTGGCCAGTATCATAACTGCCCAAAAGGACGGCAATGATAAAACACGGGAAAAGGAAGGACGGATGCAAAAAAGTTAAAGATCCCTCTTTTTTCCAAAACGCCTGCCATTACTACCAATAATTACACTGTCGCTGTGTAGGCAGGAGGGTCTTTACGCTTGAAGATTTCAGGCCGCGGGAGCCGCCGTGGCGGAGCGGCTAGACGCTCGCCGCAAATCAGAAGGTCCCGGGCGAAGTTTTTTCAAAAAGTCGGCCCAACCTTGTATGATGCTGACCACATCGCCCATCTTGTGCCGATTGGTCTATAAAATATAGGTCTAGCACTATATGCCCTATACGCCTAGAGGCGTGGAAAAGGGTACTTTACTTTTACATTACTATTTCAGGCCGCAGGTTAGGATTTTATTTTTGCCCGCGACATAAAAGTAAAACCCCCAGCCTTACCGAGGATTTGAACCCTGGTATCCCGCATGAGAACGCCGGGTTCTTATCCGTTCGTTCCTCGGCAAATAAGGAAGTGAAATTATAAAGTTTAAATTTGAAATGTCAGTACTGTATGTACGAAATCATGCCGACAAAAAAAAAGAAAAAGAAAAGCTACACCAATCTAAACAGAGCTCTGATAATGTCGTTCAACTCCCACCAAGACTGCACAACGTGCGATGAATACTCGGTGACACATAGTGCCACCATTCGGATGAGGATCACTCGGAGGACAGGTCCCAGAAACCCCGTTTAACCCTTAGGTCTAGCTATAGTAGAGCTCCCGGTTTAGGAGAGTGTGGGGAAACTAATGTGTTGAGTGTTGAGCTAGGAACTTACATTGTCGTACTCTGACTATTTCCATAAGCGCTCCGTCCGCATCTTCAACAGCCAGTGAAGAGTTCCAATTCCGATGATGCCAGTATTAGTTTGATAATATGTCCGAGTTGCTTTTTCTCTGAGTGTAGACCAGATCCCCTTGGTGACTCTTGGCTGCACCATTCACTTCAGACTATAATGATCGATTCGTGCTTCTGCACTTAAAAAAACTTAAAAGCAAGAGGATCGACTTCATTGCACCGGGTTTATACCAAATGGCTCGGTCTCTCTCCACTGAATGGCTAGATGCTTACCGATAGTGCCACACAGAGCACGAGCTCTGTAGCTCCGGCGACTATCCCCATGAATCTCAGTAAAAATTGCACTCGTAAACTGAATGGCGCAGTCGTGAAATGAACCCACGACCTTCAGAGCGCGAGGCAAGCGGCAAATAGTGCTTCTGCACTGTTTATTTGCTTCCAAAGGGCCTTGACTACATCTCTCTTGTCGTGCATAAATTCACTTTTCACTGGCACAAAGCCAACCAGTCTGTTTGCCTGCTCATTGCCTACAACATCTGCAATCCCTGGAGAAAATATCCAAAGAACGCTAACTAACTATAGCCTCTCAAGCGATGCTTACCATTCTGCACGGAGCATGTTTGTCTTCACCTTTCTTAACATGCTTTGTAAGTTAGCTAAAATTGTAATGTGTTTAAAACTAGTTCTCAAACCAAGGGAAAACTTATGTGACTGCCTCCACCTCAAACTAGATGTAGCATCATAAGCTAGACTTCGTTGCACTAAACAATGTACAATCGCTTTCGCAATGAAGCCCCATGCACTTCTGCATCTCAACACAGAGCCATCAGTATAGATAATCATATTACCTAGATAGGAATGATCACGAATCAGTTCTTGACAAAAAGCACCTCCTACATTAAATAATAGATAGAGCAAATAGTCATAGCCTAAATAAAAAAGGTCTTGGACTGCAATAACTAAAGTCACAATTAGACATTTATGTAGGTGTGATAATACTGGGCGAGGAGAGGCCTAGGTCAAATATAGTGTCACAATCAGACTTGTGTAAAGTTCTAGCCACATTGGGTCGTGAGTAGAAGGACTGGCCAGTGGGCACTGCATAATCAGAAATTCACCAAATGATTCATGATAATTCTCACCCAGCATTCAGGACAAGCTCAAATTAGCTCCGCCTCCCTCCTCAACATACTGTGTCTCCACACGTTGTATCATCTGGTTAACTACTCGCCTTGCCTTCCCCTCCCTGTGTATTGAGTGTTATTCAAAGCCCGCAGACACCTAATATCGCATCATAGTCTGTGTAAAAATGTTTTTATAAAGAGCATTGGTTTTGGAATAGAAAAATGTTGAAGCAACAAATGTCTGGGACTTGAAGTTTTTTAACGTAAATGCATGAGACTTTAAGCATGATAAAGAATCCTTGAGATGAGTCGTGATAGACCGACAACCTGCAAAGGACCAGCTTCTCGATTATGATGGTGATTATATATAAACGCCACTCCATACTTGTAAATATATTTCTTAGTTTTGTTTGATGATAAAAGGCAGCTACATTGACAAAGAAATGCTAATGTATGCGACTATATGCATTTTTCCAATATGCCAAATTGCGTTTATAATAATATCCCAGAGTAAATATAAAACCGTGATTAATTATACTTAAACTTGTACTCAAGCAAAAGAAATATAAATAAACTTACCCAAAACTATACAATTATTTCAATCAAGAGCAAGAAATGCGTTTTGTCTACCCTAAAAGTATTATGTAAAGAGGTTAAAATGACTGTGTGAGCAACAAGCACCTGGTCTGTTTGGTGTGGAGGGACAAGAACTGCCGCAGCAGGCAGGCAGACGTCAACAATCCAAACTTCTAGTTAAACATTGATAGTTCGCTGATTGTTGTTGGATCAAAGTGTAGACGTGTCTGTCACTAGTCCTGGACGCAGCTGTAGACTAACGATATGACCGATTCGCATTCAAATGAGATTGTACATCTGAACGTAGGTGGGACCAGGTGAGAACATCAATTCAACAACTTCAGAACTTGTTTGTGGGTGTGTTGTGTTACTTGAGGCAATTTGAGTTGAGTTTGCGTATGTTATTTTATCGCATTCCCATAGACGACACTGACTTTCTGAATCAGTTGAGTTAATTAATTCTGGGGTGTTGTACTGTATATCCTGTACTTTTCGATATTCCGAAGATTTACTTACTTATCCTAAATACAAAATTAATGTGTTTTGAAACCACTTGAATGACAATATTCTTATCAACGAACGCTGTGCTATCAATGTCAAACATGGACACTGTCTTCAGAAGACAGAAGGAAAATAATCATGATAGAAATGGAATGTTTAGTACTCTGGTAGCTGTAACGAGGAAAGATCCACTTGGGAATGATGATTGATATCAAGAGGAGAGTCAGCACAGAACCAATACTGAACTTTATAGGTAGACAACAAATCAAATGGTTTGGCCATGCTACAGGATTGGAATAAATAGGGCATCACAGAGAGCAGCGTTACAACGGTAACACCAAAGATCGAACATGCAGGAGATGGACCGCAGAAGTATCAGAGACACTAAAAAGTACTATATACAGAAGAACCCGTTCCAGAGATCTCTTCCTGCCCTGACGCCGCGAGACATGCCAGACGTAAAGAAAGAAGAAGTGACTTTTATTCTGTCCAGTTTTTCTAAATGAAAACGCTTTGCCTGTTGAAAGCTTTCTTTACCACTGTGTTAATTTTGTCACTCTTTTGTTTTCTAGTAAAGCCAATTCTGCTGCCCGTTCTTGTCGATTTTTATTCACAGTGACATTACTTAATATTATTAATATTAACTATCAATTATAAGTAGACTCTTGTGTGTGGTTTCTCTGTTTTCTGCAGACTTATTGTTTTCCTGACATTGGAGCCCTGAAGCCTCATAAAAGCTGTTGTTTATAATTGACATGCACCCCCCTCCTCCTCCACCATCCCAGTGGGGCTCTGGAACTAACAGAGAAGCTTTAATTTAAAGTTGACATTAGTTATTTCTTTATATTAGATTTATCTTCTTCCCTAAAAGGCGAAATTTAAAAAAAAATTGTTTTGTGGTTTACAGCTAGGCTGCAATATCTGCTTTTCTGCAAAGTACATCCAATATCAGCAAGCCCCCTAATTAGTACCTTTTATGACATACTTGTGGGGGGAGAGGGGATAAAGAGAAGAGTAGCAATCACACACCATTTACTGGCTACATCACTTAGTCACTGCATTCTTTTTCTTCTTTTTCTTCTTCTTCAGCATTCAGAGCTCTTGAGGTTCATGCTGCAGATATTACCCACCTCCATTCATATCTCTGGTTGGCCTTCTATTTCAAGTTAGGGACACGAAGTGTTTGCAGGTCTGTCAGGACATTATCTCTCCGTCGTCTTCTTGGTCTACCTCGTGGACTACGACCATTCATCTCCCTTGTGTATACAGTCTTTACTTCTCTGTCATCTGACATTATTTCAGTATGCCCAACCATTTTAGTCTATTAGCTCTTATAATGCCAGTGATCAATGGAGATTTAAACAGATTATGAATTTTGTTTTTGCTTTTCACTCTCCATTCCCCACTGTTTGCATCTTTAATGGGTCCAAAGATTTGTCTTTAGACTCTGTTTTCAAAAACCTGTAATAAGGTTTCATCTCTTGTACTTGTGCTCCCAGTTTCAGAGTCATATAAAACGACTGGTCTAATCAACGTTTTATATATTTTGATTTTGGTGTTGTGAGACAGACACTTTGACTTTAGCAGATTTTGAAGGGCTTTTAACGTTCCAGTTTCGTTGTCCGTTTGTCTCTTTAAATATCGCTTAGATATCTGTTTCATGACCAGATGAAGTTTTACAAAGGTAGAGGAGTCAGCCCCAAGCTTTAACCCCCAGCCTGGAGGACCAGGGTGTCTTTCTTTGTCTGTTCTCTACTCCTCGACCTTTATAACTTGGTAGGCCCTGCTTGTAGCTACGCTACCGCCGGCATAGCTCTAAGGGTAGTTGAGAAACACAAGCTCCCCCACCATGGCAAGGTGGAGACACCTTCAGTCACTGCATTGCTCATACAACTTTACCGTTTCAGATTTTCTACCTCAAGGCAGACTCTCACATGGAACCCTGACACATTTTTTACAAGGTACGTTTGACTGTCTGTCTGTTACTTAACTTTCACACTGCTTATGAAACATATGATAGGAACATTTTTTTCAACACTAAGGTCTGTTCTTAGCCATCTCCTTAGAATACAGACGTTGCCCGCATTTTAATTATGTTTATAGTTTTTTTCAACCAAATTTGTTATTGAACACACTTTGTAGACCTCCGTGTTCTTTCTGCCAGTTGGATCAAAGTCTAGCCTGGCCATTAAGTTAACAGTATGTTGATTTTTTTCACAGCTGCTGGTTGCCATCTTAAAATTGGAAAACCAGTTTGAGTCTTGTCTCAATAAAATACTTGAAACCTCAGGAGGACCACCACTAGCCCAAACTTACTGGAGCTGTGTTGTACCAAATCATGAGCTGTTTGTTGATTTCCTCATTTGCCACTCTGCACAATTTCCTTTCGCCCCTCATGGAGCTCGCTAGTCAAAGTCTATCTTTAGTGAATTCATTTCTTGGAATCAGACTAACTCCAGTCATCACTATTTCTTCTTCTTCTTCTCCTTCTCCTCCTCCTCTTCTTCTTCTTCTTCTTCTTCTGCTCTGAAGTTGAGTATAGGTTTTGTGTAGCTAATTGATTTGTGAACTTGGAAAAGAGAATAACTCTGCAGCATAGTTCCCTTGGAGATAACACTTCATTAGCAAGTCAGGTGGAATGTCTGTATACCATTCTTACTGTGGTAGAGACATTCTTGTATAGCTCAGACAAGCTCAGTGCCAGTAATGAGACGAAGAGTTAAACATACAGCTGATTTCTCATTTCTTAACATTCTGTTCGTGACCCGCCCACATTGGATCGCAGGTTGCTTAATAACTGTAGTATGCCCTAGTGTATCAAGAAACTACTACAGATCAAATGGTTTGGTCATGTGTCAAGACTACCACTAGATAGTGCCCCACAGAGAGAACCCTGTCACTTAGATGTGTGGAAGCAGAGCTAGAGGTCGACCACGCAAGCGAAGAATAGATGGAATATCTGAGGTTGTACATGCCAGCATCTACGTAGCACATACTACTTCAGTTTGTTGAGTGGAAGGATCTCCTCGCACAAAGACGAGACCGGTGCAGTGAGTATCTCAGGCGTATATTTATATTCTTTTGCTGTTTGATCAGCAGTGCTGGTAGTTGTGTCAGTTCATTGCAACTGCTAACTCACAGTGTATGTTGAGTCACAGTGTATGTTGAGAAAGGTGGAGACAGACATGCTCCGTGCAGAGTGGCAAGTTTACTTCAAAGGTCCCAGGTAGTTAGCATCCTTTGAATAGAATATTTTCTCCAGGTCATGCTGGTGTGTTGGGAAATGAGCAGACAGATGGACTGAACGGTTCTGCACCACTTAGTGGTGAATTGATGTATGACAAGCTAGATGTTTTGAGGGCCCTTTGGGAGTGAGTGAACAGCGGGAAAGCACAAATAGATCATTATTGTCTGAGGAGAATGGTGATGCAGGGAGTTACCAGGGGATCTGGCTGATGCTCAATGTTCAGGAAAAAGGGGAGACGGACATACAATCAGACAGTTTACTGGTGCTGTCAGAATTGGAATTCTTCACGGTGCGCTTATGGGAGTGTCCTGAGTGCTGTGATGTCAATTCTTAATTCAACATACAACATATTGCAAATGCTAAAGATACCATGAGCTTCTTTTGTTTTTAATCCTCTGCACATCTATGCCACCTTTGATGTATTTACCTAGTATATGTGAAGTTCTGATTCTTCTCACCCACTACCAAGCACCAGCCACAGATCATACCTACACTGTCTGCATAAATGCCTGCCTGTCTACCCATAAACTTATGTACCTACCTAGAAGTTCAGTGTACATATCAATTTTATGTACTTTTATAAATTCAGTGTACCTAAAAATTATGTGCACCTATAAATTATATGTACCTACAAATTCAGTTTACCTATATATTCAGCGTACATGTAAATTATGTGTACATATGCATTTTGTGTACCTATAAATCCTATGTACGCATAAATTCTATGAGCAAGTTTTCCCCCACAGATTTTTATTGACAGAGATCCCAAGTTGTTTGCCCTGATATTAAATTACCTTCGGACAAAGGAGATTCAGTGGAGGTGAGCACACAGGCACATTTTTATTTTTATATTTAAGGATGTCATTTAAAGGTACTGCAGGCGGGAAAAAAATCAGCGCCTGTTAATTAGAAGTTACAAAAATGGTTAATAATTCTGAAATGCCCGGGTCTATTTAGCCCAGGCCTCTTTGCAGTGATATTGACAATGGTATGGAGCATTGATGGTCAGAAAGAAATGGCAAACTACAGACTATAAAATTGCCTAGTAGAACCACAAACAGCCAACAGATGGTGATGTTGATCTGTGACATACTATAAAAGGGACAGTCAGCTAACTTTATTTGTTTAGTGCTGCTCTGTTTCACTAGGTCAGGACAAGGGTGATTGTCATGGGCCTTCTGGGCATCATCATCATCATCATCATCTTTGTTGTGTTTTTTTGTGTGCACATAACATGTCACACAGGGTTTGCAGTCTATTCCTGCATTCCTTTGCAATCCTTTTGAAATCATGGATGGAATTTAGTCCAACATCCTTGGCTTCTCTCATCAAGGTTCGCTTTAGTTTGTTGTTGTTGCTGTTGTATCAGTTCTTTTATTTCACATTTTGTCTGCTTGATAATTACCAGCCAGTTTCTTTTCAGGATTTCTTCACATTACCACCATAATCTTTTGTCTTATAACTTGTTACCTACCAGTCTTCAAACATCAAGAGTTCTAACTGTTGTTCAAGTTTATGGAAGCAGCTGATGCCAATCCATGTGATTATTTTTTGTGTGTGCATCTCCTTGACTGTCAGAATGGCTGTCTAAATAAGTAAATAGATCTGTAACTTGGTGGGTATCACAGGCGGTTGTCATTCCCAGCTTCAACAGTGGATGAGCAGAGCATCTCTTGACACTGGACCTAGAAAAATTAAAAAACAAAAGTCAAGGACCTTTTTGTAGACCAATCAGTACTCACTGAGTGACATGGTCAATGTCACGCCAGCGTCCCAGGATATTACCCAGTACCCAGTTTAAGGCAGGGTCGATCTGAACCCTAGACTTTCAGGCGGGCGTCTAGCCGCTGTGTCATCATGGCTGCTGACTCTCAACGTATTGGGTGGAAATTAGGTGCATTTTGATCAGTTGCATTTTGTATTATTAGCATGGTAACTTTTTGTTGGCTGCTGAAGGTGGGTCAGAGCATATAGTTGTTACCTTAACTTGTTGGATTGTTTTGTGTTACTTCGCCTCTCTTCTTTCTTCCCTTTCTTCCTGCCTTTTTTTCCTTGTCTTCTTGTCTTCCTTTTTGCCTTATTTTCTTCCTGCTTTTTTTCTGCCATCTTTTCCTTCTTCCTGCCTTATTTTCTTCCTTCCTGCCTTATGTTCTTCCTTCCTGTCTTCTCTTCTTCCTTCCTGTCTTCTTTTCTTTCTTGCTTTCTTCCTTCCTTCTGTCTTTTCTTCTGGTCTTATTTCCCTTTTCCTGACTTCTTTTCTTCCTTCCCGCCTTCTTTTCTTCTTTCCTTCCTGCCTTCTTTGCACCTTCTGTCTGTCCTTTTTTGCCATTCTTTCCTTCCTTACTTTCTATTGTATCATTATGTCTAATTTATCACCGTTAGCTGATAATCTGGAGCAGAAAGTGTTTAATGACATTCTGATTTTAGTTTGTTTCTGGTCTTCCGTAGAAATGTGGATTTATCAGCTCTGAGACATGAAGCTGAGTTCTATGGAATCAGTGCGTTGGGTAAGGAGAGTGATCATCCATGCAGTTATACTTACAGAGAAAAGGCATACCAAAAAAAAAAATTAATGTCATTGTTGTACCTGTTTACCTAGAAAAAAATTCCACTGTTGTCTTCTTCGCATTCACCGGTTGTAAACTCCGGCAGAAAGTTCTGGTTGTTCATCCAGTTTTGGACTTTAGTCTTGTTCCAGATCCTAAGTGTTGCATGCGCATCCTATTTACAGATCTGACTTATATTGTTAGCAGATTGTTGGTTCCTTACCTCTCAGGCAGAGCACTCGAATTTCGAAGAAAGCCCCACTTAGTCAACTTTTTGGGTGGCGGTGGGTCTGTTCTTGTTGTTCCCCACAATGGGGCCCTGGAACAGAAATTAGTAGGCTAGAACTGTAGCCAGTCCTTTAGTTCATTAAACAGGAACTGTTGAGATGGTTACCAGCTGCCATATTGAAGAAATTTAGTGAACAGAGCAAGAGGAAGACCATAGAAATGTGGAAGGACGGCTTTAAGAACAGTGTTAAGGAAATAATCAACTCACGCAACACATTAGAAACAGCACACAGAAGATTCATACATTTCCTCCTTGCTCTATACTTACATTTTACGTTAAAATTATATCATTTCGGTCTGAAGAGAATGGCGCTGTGAGGAAATACTAGGGGATCTGGCAAACGCTCAACACTCAAGGGAGAGGATATACAATCAGACAGTTATGGAAACCATCAGAATCGGAACTCTTCAGTTGCTGCTGAAGATGAGGAGGAACACTTATGGGAGTGTCCCGAGTACTGTGATGTTGATTTTCAGTTCAACATTTTATGTGAAGCTGCTATTGTCACATATCATGTGAACTTTTCAGTGTTATGTTTCAGGGCAGATTGTTGTCACAGTTCCTTCTTTCCAGATAAACATTGTTTTGTGTTATGGAGAGGCAGATCGTTGTCACAGTTCCTTCTTTCCAGATAAACATTGTTTTGTGTTATGGAGAGGCAGATCGCTGTCACAGTTCCTTCTTTCCAGATAAACATTGTTTTGTGTTATAGAGAGGCAGATCGCTGTCACAGTTCCTTCTTTCCAGATAAACATTGTTTTGTGTTATGGAGAGGCAGATCGTTGTCACAGTTCCTTCTTTCCAGATAAACACTGTTTTGTGTTATGGAGAGGCAGATCGCTGTCACAGTTCCTTCTTTCCAGATAAACATTGTTTTGTGTTATGGAGAGGCAGATCGTTGTCACAGTTCCTTCTTTCCAGATAAACATTGTTTTGTGTTATGGAGAGGCAGATCGCTGTCACAGTTCCTTCTTTCCAGATAAAAACATTGTTTTGTGTTATGGAGAGGCAGATCGCTGTCACAGTTCCTTCTTTCCAGATAAACATTGTTTTGTGTTATGGAGAGGCAGATCGTTGTCACAGTTCCTTCTTTCCAGATAAACATTGTTTTGTGTTATGGAGAGGCAGATCGCTGTCACAGTTCCTTCTTTCCAGATAAACATTGTTTTGTGTTATGGAGAGGCAGATCGTTGTCACAGTTCCTTCTTTCCAGATAAACACTGTTTTGTGTTATGGAGTGGCAGATCGCTGTCACAGTTCCTTCTTTCCAGATAAACATTGTTTTGTGTTATGGAGAGGCAGATCGTTGTCACAGTTCCTTCTTTCCAGATAAACATTGTTTTGTGTTATGGAGAGGCAGATCGTTGTCACAGTTCCTTCTTTCCAGATAAACATTGTTTTGTGTTATGGAGAGGCAGATCGTTGTCACAGTTCCTTCTTTCCAGATAAACATTGTTTTGTGTTATGGAGAGGCAGATCGCTGTCACAGTTCCTTCTTTCCAGATAAACATTGTTTTATGTTATGAAGAGGCTGGGGAATTACAACCAGTTAAGGCCGGGAATAAAGTTCCTCTCCACAGCATAAACAGACAGAAGCAGCAGACACTGCTTTGTTTATAACTGTTTCCTCTTCTCTACCCAGTTGGTCGGCTCGCACTGTGTGAAGACTTGGATCACTCTTCCTGTGGAGATGTTTTGTTTCACGGATATTTCCAGCCTCCTAGTAAGTATTTTCAACTTTTACATATTTATAGTAATCCATTTATTTATTTATCCAAGTCGTGGCACTGTGTTATGCCACAGGGGTCACTGAGGGAAGGGATGGATGTACCGATGACAGTAGTCTTTCTGAAACTAAAAAATAAATAATTCCTAACAAGCTTCCCACCAAAACACAATCTTGAAAAATGGAATTTTTGTTCTGGCTAGAAAGCTTTCATCAGCATAGAAAAAAAAACTGGATAATAAAATAGCTGTTTGACAAACTACTACTTCTTCTTGGTCATCATTTCTGAGCTCTTGAGGTTCATTGCTGCAGATATTACCTGCCTCCATTCATCTCTGTGATTCTTTTTCCAGTTTGTGACTCCAGGTGTTTGTATGTCTACATATTTATTATCTTTCCTTCTCTCCATGTGGGTTCCAGGGCCCTGTTGTGGGCAAAACAAGAATAGACCCACTGCCTCCCTAGCAAGTGTGGTTAAAGAGTCAACTAACTGGGGCTTCCATCGAAGTCAGAGTGCATCTGTCTGAAAGGCAAGGAACCAGCAGTCTGCATGCAGGTAAGCCACATCTGTGAAATGGGTGTGCACCCAACGGTGGGGTTCTGGAACAAGACTTAAGCCCATAGGTTGGCAAACAACCAAAACTTTTTGCCGGAGTTGAGTCTGTGAACGTGAAGACAAAGAAGATAAAGATCTCCCTCATAGTTTCTTAGTATGCCATTCAGCTCTTTTGTGCACACAGTTTTTATTGTAAATTTTTTGTTTTTGTTTTAATGTATATGGTGTGTCTCTGTTGTCATCCATTCTCTCTCAAAGGTTTGCAATAAAGCTTCCGCTTTAGGTGTATGCACAGTTTTACTGCCAAATTGGACAGATTTTTCTTGTCAGTGTTTATATTTTGTGATCGTAACAGACTACATATAGTCACTGAGCAGCTGGATGAAATCAGCTGACTGTAATGATATCCACACATGCTGAAGACAAAAATATGCTGGCATGCCACCTTTCTGGGTCCGTCCATTATGGAGTTTCCCCCAACTTCCTGTCAGGGGCAGAAATAAACATTATGACCTGCGCAGTTCCTGGTGGTTACACTAGCCATTGTGCCCGAAATCCTCAGGGTAAAATCTTCCTTTCTTGTTTTTAACCCCAAAAATGGGTAAATACAGCTTCTTCTTTGACACACTACGCTAGAGGAATTGAATGACGAACTTATAATGAACTGCTACTACCATCAACAGAATCTGAACTTTTCACTGCATGTTGAAGATGAGGGATGGAGCAATGTGTTTGTGAAGTGTTTCATTCTTGCTGCCGTATTTTATGGGGCAGGTTTTTTCTTTTTTTTTAAAAACATTTATGTTTTTCCCCACAAGCTCCCCCCTTACCAAGTTCGTCCAGCTTTCGCCAGTCAGTGGTCAGTGTGGAGAGTTCGGACCATCGCCGACCAGTCATGAGAAGGCAACAAGAAAACAGTGGATCTAGTTCCCAGAGTCATTCAAGGTAGAAATTCCAGTTCCATCAAAAATATATTAGATTTTTTTTTTGAACGAATGAACTTTATGTTCAAAGGGTCACGAATTGGCCACGCAGACCCATCTCACATTTGGCCCTTCCAAACACAAATTTTTCACACTGCAGTTGTATTTTATCAGTAAAGCGCATTGTGCTCATATAATGAATATCAAGAGAAAAAACAAAAGCATGGGTGGTAAAATGCACACTCGCCCACGCACTCACTTACACACATGCATACATGCATACACACCCATGTATATACATAAATGCATTCATACACACACACAATAAGGTCCTAGAAACCACACGGAAAGAAAAGATATGTGAATAAGCAGAATCACATTGATACGCAATATAATTTACTACAAAGAGATTGTTATATATTGTTGGCACCTTTCTGTCTTTCCAGAAGATTGTGTTATGCTGTAGAAAAGCAAGGCAGTTACAGCAAATAGCGATGGGCAGTTGAAACCATGGGTGAAGTTCCTTCTCTTCGTAACAAATATGTCGTAAAAGGCGACTAATTAAGGGTTTTGCCAAAATCAGATCTGTTGGACTAAAGGGCGCAGATATTATATAAGCCTCGCTGTGAACTAAAACACCATGTGCCAGTTGCCCTTGTAAGGCAAAATTAGAATAGGAAGATTTTGTCTATTTACCTTTTAAATCATTGTCATTTTTGATTTGCCATATTTTAAATCATTGTCAGTTTAATTTTGTCGTAAGTAAAAGTAAAGTAAGTAAAGGACCCTTTTCCACGCCATCAGGGGTATAGGGCATATAGGGCTTGACCTATATTTTTATAGACCAATCTGCACAAGATGGGTGATGTGGTCAGTATCACGCTGGCCGCCTTTACTTCCCAGGACTGCACCCGGTACCCACTCAAGGCTGGGTTGACCTGGGAGCCAAGGTCATTTTTGAAAAATAGTTCGGCTCCGCCAGGGAGCGAACCCACGACCTTCTGATCCGCGGCGAGCGTCTAGCTGCTCAGCCACGGCGACTCCCAATTTTGTCTCATTTTAACCCACTGACTACCAAGCCCATTAACCCTTGCATTTCCCCAGATACCACGTATTTTAGTGTTTACTAAAAATGCCATAGCTTCACAACTATTTGATATAATCTCACAATATTTTGTATTTTTGCACCAAACTGAATGAAGAACAGATTTCAAGAAAAAAAAGTTGTTTATTTTGTTTTGCATCATCATCATGTGGCTGTAGATTGGTGCAAAAAAGGCAACCGGAAAATCTTTTATCTGACAACAATAAAGACAAATAAAAATGTCTTATTTTCAAAAAATATTTAATAAAAATGTATAATATTTTGTATTTTTGCACAAAATTAAACCAAGAACACATTTAAAGAAAAAAACAATAAGGTTTACTCTGACATAGTCATCATCATCATGTGGCTGTAGATTGTTGCAAAAAAGGCAACTGAAAATCATTTATCTGACAACAATAAAGACTGATAGTCATGATTTTTTTTCACAAATTTTTAACAAACATATATAATATTTTGTATTTTCGCACAAAATTTAACCAAGAACAATGTGAAGACAAAAAATGGGGTTTACTTTGTCTGACATAATCATCATCATCATGTGGCTGCAGATTGTTGCAAAAAAGGCGACTGAAAAATCCTTTGTCTGACAATAATTCAGACTCCCAAAAAATGTCACAGCTTCACAACTGTTCAATATTACTTATCCTATCTGATATTGTTTGCACAAAATTAAATAGATAACAAATATCAAGACAAATGTAGATTTACTGTTTTATATCATCATCATGTGGCTGTAGATATGGTGCAAAAAAGGCAACTGAAAAATCCTTTGTCTGACAATAATTCAGACTCCCAAAAAATGTCACAGCTTCACAACTGTTCAATATCACTTATCCTATCTGATATTGTTTGCACAAAATTAAAAAGATAACAAATATCAAGACAAATGTAGATTTACTGTTTTATATCATCATCATATGGCTGTAGATATGGTGCAAAAAAGGCAACTGAAAAATCCTTTATCTGACAATAATTCAGACTCCCAAAAAATGTCACAGCTTCACAACTGTTCAATATCACTTATCCTATCTGATATTGTTTGCACAACATTAAATAGATAACAAATATCAAGACAAATGTAGATTTACTTTTTTATATCATCATCATGTGGCTGTAGATATGATGCTAAAAAGGCAACAGAAAAATATGTTATCTGACAGCAATATATAGAAACGCCGCCCCCGTGACATGATGGTGGCAGCAAATGATGATGAGTGGAGAGATGGATATAAACTCTGGTAGTCTGAAATAGCTTTTCACAACACATGTGACACAACAGTACAAGAAACCCTGTCACTTTCATTAGGGGTTGTGTGTTTTTCCAGTTCCAGCCACTAATCTTTGTCTCAGCATATCATTAACGGTTTGTTTCTTTAGCAAACACAGCAAGTATGTCTTTTACTGAAAGAAAAAAATATTCCATGGTTTCATTTGTTCCTTCTGGGGCAGAAATAAAACAGAAGTGCCAGTAAATGGGGGTACTCCAGGAAAGCCTTCTAAATCACAATGCCAGTCATCAACCATTTGGGGGCGTGGCACATCTTCTCCGGACTCGTTAGATGATGATGATTCTGAATCAAAAGCGGCAATATTTTCGTCATGTGCAGACTCAAGCACAAAATCTTTATAATCTGTGGGCTTTGACTGAATACTCTTACAAGAACTATCAGCATCATAAACTGCGGCACCAGTGCTTGCAGCCGACAACACTGTGACTGTCTTTGTCAGACTTGACTTCGAAGTGTCATACTGTCGTTTTACAGTCGATGATGTTTTGAATGGCACTTCGTTAAATTTATTACAGTCATAGCCATCAAACTGTTCAGAAGTGTCTTCAAATGCACTTTTTGAAGCAAAATCAAGAAAATCGAATGCATCATTAGAAAAATTAGGAGAGATATGGCCACCACGATGGTTCCGATAATTTGACGCCATGATGAATTTTTCGTCAATGTCTCACCGTCATGGGAGCTAACTAAAAAAATTCGTAAAATATTTACTTCAAGCACTACGGAGTTATTTCCCTTAATTAACCATACAGAAATGAATAAGCTAGAGGTTTCAACTAAATCCATCATAAAAATCGCGATTTTAACATGACGGCGAGCGTCCAAAGCTAAAATCGCAAAGGGTGTGACGTTGGCAGATGGAAGTAAACGTCGCCTTGTCGCATTACGTGCGACGCTGGTAGTCAGTGGGTTAAAATATTGTCATTTTAGCTTTGCCAGATTTTTAAATGGTTGTCATTTCAGCTATGCCACTTGTTGACTTTTCCTGTAATTCTCGTGACTCTAGAAATTCATCAGTGGAAGGTCGGGGAATGCAAGTACATCATGTGTCACAGGAGCCCAGACCACAGAGCCACCTGGGTATCCCTTCCGCAGAACATCGGCTTGACAAACCTTCCTCCAGCATTACCAGGAGAGCAGAAGTAGCACAGGTTCAATGTAAGATAGAATTCATATTCTTATTTTTATAGGCTTTTTTTTTTAACACTCCTTTTGTTTGTCAGGGCGAACTTTGCCTCGTTTTTGTTACAACGCACAAACTCCAAGTAACCGAAAAAGTTTGTGTTAAGACAAATTGGTGCTTACCCATGACTCAAATTTCAGGGTTGCAGTTAAAAAAAAAATAATTGCAGTTTTCACAGAAGGTTGGCTACAGTGTCTTTTGTTGTTTTTAAGACTATTAAATGGTAAGGCCCAGTCTGTTCCACAGTGTGACTCTTGTACAACTGACTGAGAGCTACAAGAATATTTTTTTATATGCGAACTGTCCATCGCAAGAATTGAACCCTAGTATTATTTTTACATTTTAAGTTTTGTTTACAGATCTGTCTGTTTGCTTTCTCTTGGCAATGACTTCTGTCTCACTGCTTGCAGGAATTAGTATCTATGTTTACAGATCTATGTCTGTTTGCTTTCTCTTGGCCATGACTTCTGTCTCACTGCTTGCAGGAATTGAACCCTAGTATTATTTTTACATTTTTTAGTTTTGTTTACAGATCTGTCTGTTTGCTTTCTCTTGGCAATGACTTCTGTCTCACTGCTCGCAGGAATTGAACCCTAGTATTATTTTTACATTTTTTAGTTTTGTTTACAGATCTGTCTGTTTGCTTTCTCTTGGCCATGACTTCTGTCTCACTGCTTGCAGGAATTAGTATCTATGTTACTCTTACTGGCTACATTTTAAAGAATACACAAACTCTTTCACCCCAGTGACCTAAAAAAAAATGAAGAGAGAGAGGGGGGGGGAGGGGGGGGGGGACTACTGTCACAATTCCACATGAACTCCTCTTCTTCTTCTTTTTTTTGCGTACATTTTTGTATGCTCAGATCAGACCATCAGATGTTTTGCCTCTGTAAACTCGCATGTCAGCTGCAGGTCCTTCATGGTTTCCACAGCTTGTTTCTTTGCTCTTGGGGCCAGGTTTCTTTTCGAAGCTGTAGGTAGAGTGGGCAGGTCTGCAGAATGTGCTCAAGTGTTTGTGGTCCTCTGTGACAGGCACACTGTGGGGACTGTACAGTCGTTATTTTATGCATATGGTAGTTTGAGCCTGCAGTGTCCTGTTTAAAGATGGAAAATTGTATGTTGCTTTCTGTTGCGTCTGCTGATGGGGGTCGTGTGGATGTTTACTGCTGGTTTGTTCTTTCAACAATTCCTTGTATTTTTCCTTCTTGTGTGTTTTGATTTCTGATAATGACAATGAATGGGTTTGTTGTTTCACCATTATTCCACTAGACTGTGTCCTGTTTGTGGTAATACTTTTTGTGTATGATGATTTTAGTTCTGTTTTTGTGAAAACAGACAGTCACCTTTGTTACCCCCCATGACACCTTTGTTACCCCCCCCTGTTACTCCCCATGACACCTTTGTTTACCCCCCCCCCCATGACACTTTTGTTACCCCCCCATGACATTTTGTTACCCCCCAATGACACCTTTTGTTACTCTCCCCATGACACCTTTGTTACCCCCCCATGACACCTTTGTTACCCCCATGACACTTTTGTTACCCCCCATGACACCATGCTGCAAGGACATCAGAACTATAGGTACTATCGTCAGAATTTCTAAATTTTTTGTAAATAAATGCAGCTAGCATCGTTGCATTTCACTTGGAAATTGAAATTCACTGGTCCACATTTAAGCCTCTGTGTCAATTTTAAACCAAGACATTATTTTTTTTAAGGCAAACTATATAAAAATAGATGAATAGAAGAAATATTGGTTGTGTTTTTTTGAACCTCTACAGGCACTTATGTCGACCCCATGAGAGTGACCATGCTGCGAGGACACCAGAACTGGATCTGTGCTGCCTACCCGCACTTTGTTTGTTGCTACAGGTGAGTTGAACCAGTGGGCAGAGTTGACTGTATTTGTCCATGTATACGACAAAATATGGTCCCAGATTTGTTAAGTTTAAAACTGGGGGTCGATGTGAAAATACATGGATGTGATTAAAATAGTTATTTCTAAATTTTGGGCTAACAAATAGAAGTTGTCTTATACACACAGTACAAAAACACACACAGTCACAACATGCACGCACAGACACAACATACACACAGGCAACACATACCAATACAACATACACAGGGATACATACACAGCACATATACATAGACACAACCAATATTCACCGACACAGTGCATTCACACAGACTCAACACAAGCACACTGTTCACAAACACAGCACATATAGACCAACACAATGCATTCACACAGACTCAACACAAGCACACTGTTCACAAACACAGCACATATAGACACAACACAGCACATATAGACACAACACAGCACATATTCATAGACAAAACCAATATTCACCGACACAATGCATTCACACAGACTCAACACAAGCACACTGTTCACAAACACAGCACATATAGACACAACACAGCACATATAGACACAACACAGCACATAATAGACACAACACAGCACATATGGACACAACACAGCACATATAGACACAACACAGCACATATAGACACAACACAGCACATATGGACATAACACAGCACATATAGACACAACACAGCACAAATAGACACAACACAGCACATATGGACACAACACAGCACATATAGACATAACACAGCACATATAGACATAACACAGCACATATAGACACAACACAGCACATATGGACATAACACAGCACATAAGGACACAACACATAGATATTAGGTCAATATCAGTTGTCAGTACCTCCTGCCTTACAGAATGAAGGATTCCACCGGCTGGCACATGCTGTGGAAGAGTCAACACATGGACACCCAGGTGGAGAGGGTTGCTCTCAGTGCCAAAGTTATCAGCTCCAACCAAGAAAACTCCCACAACAAAATGGTGGCTGCATCGTCTGGTTCTACTGTTTGGCTGTGGGTTGTCGGGGACGATGGAGAAAGCAGACAGATAGGTTAGTGTTCTTACTGTCAGCACTCACCGGCTGAAAGTTCTGGTTGTTCGTCCACTTCTGGACTTTAGTCTTGTTCCTGAACTTAAACTTTGCCTGCACATCTGTTTTACAGATCTGCTTATTTTTATGCAGACTGTTTGTACTTCGCCTCTGGAGAAAAAAACCCTAATTTATCACCTTTTAAGACATTCTTGTTAGGGAGGCACTGGGTATGTCCCTCCTCCTTCCCTTCTCCCAAAATGGAGCTCTGGAACCCACACGAGAAGATCAGTTGAATGCAATATTATTTCCTGTTGATTTTATTATGCGTTTCCATATTATTTCCCTTTGTTTCTTTTGAGCTTTCGTTCAGCAGTAATATTTAATAGCAAATTGAAGGTGGTTTTTTTTCCCCCCTTACTCTATCTGTGTTTTATTTTATAGAAAAATCAAACCTTGTGATATTGTATTTTGTCTTCTGGTGCTATCTCTACACCAGTGGCTCTCAACCTTCCTAATGCTGCGACCCTTTAATCCAGTTCCTCATGCTGTGGCGACCCCCAACTATAGTTATTTTTGTTGCTACTTCATAACTTTTTTGGTGGTCTTTGGTGACTCCTGTGAAAGGGTCGTGACCCACAGGTTGAGAACCACTGCTGAAAGGGTCGTGACCCACCTCTACACCCCAAGATAGAAGAGAATCGACTAAGTCAGTCTTCTGGTACGCAAGAAAGTAATCTTATTATAATCTTGTACTTTTATCCCAGGTTGTCGGGGAAATAACATCTTTTAATCTTGTACTTCTGTTCCATGGTATTGTAAGGAGAGGAGAAACACATTTTAGAGTAGGTCAGCCTCCACTTATTGGTTCTGGGGCCCCATTTTGGGGGAAAAGTAATAAAACCGCTGTCCCCTGTCAACCTTGTGAAAGTTAACTACTTTGGGTGTTTCAAGCAGTGGGTCCATTCTTCTCCAAACCCCACTGGGGACCCAGAACCCACGCTGGGAAACCTTTACATTTCATCTTAGCGTTCACCGGCTGTAAATTTCGGCAGAAAGTTCTGGTTCTTTACTTCTGAACTTAAGTCTTGTTCCAGAGTTTTGCATAAACATCCATTTTACAAATCTGGCTTATTTGTATGCAGACTATTGGTCTTTCAGGCAGAGCCACTCCGACTCTAAAGGAAACAGCCCTGATTAGTTGACTTCTAGGACATGCTTGTTAGGGAGGCAGTGGGTCTATATTTTGTGTGTGTGTGCCCTGGAACCTACATAGGGTTGATGTATGATTAAACTTTGAACTTTATTTGTGGCTTCTTGTGCGGATATTTTATAGTAGTACTTGATTTCTGTAACTTGCAGGTGTGTTTGATCTGTGGTTTGTGGGATTTGTGATTTGTGGCTTCTTGTGCGGATATTTTATAGTAGTACTTGATTTCTGTAACTTGCAGGTGTGTTTGATCTGCATGTGTCCGTAGACAACTTGTTCTTCATTGGGAACCAGCTGGTGGCTCTGAGCCGTACAGGAAGAGTGGGAGTCTGGCATTCCATGACACAACACTGGCAGGTACTGTTTACAAATATATGAGTTGAGTTGAGAACCATTGGCACTGGACATTTTCATAAGTGCTCAGTCCCTATTTTCAGCAGCCAGCGCAGTTACAGTTCTGATGGTAGGGTTAACACTCTGATTATATGTCCGTCTTGCCTCTCGTCTGTGTTGAGTGTCGGCCAGATCCCCTGGACACTCTGTTACACCATCCTCTTCAGAGCATGACAATATGTTTGTGTCCAGACTGTGCGCTCGCTTCCAAAGGGCCTTGACAACATCTTCTTGTCATTCATCAGTTTACCTCCACATACCATAGTCAGCACTTCAGTCTATTTTCATTGCACTCTAGGCATGTTAGATGGTTCTCTTGTCTTTTGTAGCAGTAGCTATTTTTTAAAAATAATTTTTAAAAAACTGATTGTACCATCATCTGTAAGACAGAGAAGATGACGCTAAATTGGACAGATTCTGGGAAGAGATGAGCAGAGAGTCACAGACATGCAGTGAAGTGACAGATAGAGGTATTGAGGAAGCAAGGAGGTCCAAGAGAAACCCTGTGGTGAATATTGATGAGACAAGGCAAAAATGCTGGACTGGATTCCATCCATGATGTTGAAATTATTGCAAAGCATAAAAAGGAATGAAGAACTAGACTGGAAGCCCTATGTGACATGTAATGACACAACAGGACAGGGAATGAACGAATGAATGTAGATAAAGGATGTAAAGTGACTGTGTTTGACTGTATTTTGTCTTTCCACAGCTTCAGGATGTGGTGCCCATCACAAGTTATGACATGGCTGGATCCTTCCTACTTTTGGGCTGTCAGGACGGATCCATCTATTACATAGGTGCGTTTTTCCCCCCCTTCACTTGGTGCATGTATGCTCTCTCTCTCTCTCTCTCTCTCTCTCTCTCTCTCTCTCTCTCTCTCTCTCTCTCTCTCTCTCTCTCTCTCTCCCTCCTCCCTCTCTCCCTCCCTCCCTCTCTCCCTCCCTCCCTGTCAACATTTATACACAGACAGAGAAAAGCAGAGAGTAATAACACATGCTAACATAAAGCACAGAGAAGCAGACACAAAACTGAAAAACAGACACAACATGGAAAAACAGAACGGACAACATAGTGAAACAGAAACAGCATAGAGAAGTGGACACAACATACACATCATACAGAAACAGCATAGAGAAGCGGACACAGCAATGAGAAATTGAAAATAGAAACAGACATAGGATAGAGAAACAGAGAAAGTAGAGACAACATTGCAGATATAGATAATCTATTTCAAGCGAACGAAAGCAGAAGAAGAAACAGAAAATGAAAACAGACACAGTATTGAAAAACATACAAGACTGTGAAACAGATTATAGAAATGAATACAGAAAACAGACACAACATAGAAATAAGACCAGAGACACATAAAACAGAACATTGAAACAGATGCAGTCCTGAGAAATCTTGTGCAACACAGAAATACACAGATACTGTTTCTGTTAGCTTGTTTTTCTGTAGCCATACAACTTTGAACTTTGCCTATGCTGTGAGGACGCTGTTGTCTGCTGTTTTCCCCTTCCCACCTGCTAGCTAAAAGCTTGATCACCCTCAGAGACCTCAAAAGTCTTATCCTGGATGTCAAGTCAACTAAGCAAATTCCAAATGCCTGTTCAACCTGCAAAGAAGTTATAATTAAATTGTTGTTGTTTGTCCATCACAGGTGATGAGGACCAATCTTTCTTTTGTCTGTCATGAAATTACAGTTGGTTGTCGGTGAGTCCGGAGGTGACCTATAAGCCCAATAAGGGCCCAGAGGGATCTAGGACTGAGGACAGGGAACAGTGTCTGTAGGTTAAGGGCCTGTAAGACTATACCGAGGCACCTGTCATGGCTGACCAGGCTGGTTTTAACTTACAGTCCTCTGCCAGTCGGGTACTAATAAACAGATGCTGTATACTTTTTTCTGCCCGTAAGAGATAAAAGAGGAATGGCTGGCTGAACAGTTGAGAATAAAGGGCTTTCGTGCGGGAGACCCTGCTTCCAATCCTCGGTAAGGTTAGGGACTTTTTTTCCTGTCGGGGGCAAAAATATAATCCTAAGCTGTACCTTCCCTGGTTCCCTGGGGACAGCACTAACCATGCGACCTTAAATCCTCAGACTCAAAGACCCCCAGCTTCCCCCTACACTGCAAAAATGATAAATACAAGTAGTAATGGGAGTTTTATTTTAAAGACATTGTGTTCATTTATCCATTGTGGCTGTCCGGCTTCTTCTTTTGTTCGTTTAAAATAGATTATCTACATCTGAAATGTTGCCTCTATTGTAGATTTCACTGTCTTTTTGTTTTTAATTCACTCAGTAGCCTGTAAAGTTTAGCTTCTGTTGGTGTTTCTCTTGGCTGGAAGTTTTGTCTCAATGGCTTCTGTTGGTGTTTCTCTTGGCTGGAAGTTTTGTCTCAATGGCTTCTGTTGGTGTTTCTCTTGGCTGGAAGTTTTGTCTCAATGGCTTCTGTTGGTGTTTCTCTTGGCTGGAAGTTTTGTCTCAGTGGCTTCTGTCTGTGTTTCTCTTGGCTGGAAGTTTTGTCTCAATGGCTTCTGTCTGTGTTTCTCTTGGCTGGAAGTTTTGTCTCAATGGCTTCTGTTGGTGTTTCTCTTGGCTGGAAGTTTTGTCTCAATGGCTTCTGTTGGTGTTTCTCTTGGCTGGAAGTTTTGTCTCAATGGCTTCTGTTGGTGTTTCTCTTGGCTGGAAGTTTTGTCTCAATGGCTTCTGTTGGTGTTTCTCTTGGCTGGAAGTTTTGTCTCAATGGCTTCTGTTGGTGTTTCTCTTGGCTGGAAGTTTTGTCTCAATGGCTTCTGTTGGTGTTTCTCTTGGCTGGAAGTTTTGCCTCAATGGCTTCTGTCTGTGTTTCTCTTGGCTGGAAGTTTTGTCTCAATGGCTTCTGTTGGTGTTTCTCTTGGCTGGAAGTTTTGTCTCAATGGCTTCTGTCTGTGTTTCTCTTGGCTAGAAGTTTTGTCTCAATGGCTTCTGTTGGTGTTTCTCTTGGCTGGAAGTTTTGTCTCAATGGCTTCTGTTGGTGTTTCTCTTGGCTGGAAGTTTTGTCTCAATAGCTTCTGTTGGTGTTTCTCTTGGCTGGTAGTTTTGTCTCAATGGCTTCTGTCTGTGTTTCTCTTGGCTGGATTTTGTCTCAATGGCTTCTGTCTCAATGGCTTCTTCTGTTGGTGTTTCTTGGCTCTTGGCTGGAAGTTTTGTCTCAATAGCTTCTGTTGGTGTTTCTCTTGGCTGTTTTTTGTCTCTTGGCTTCTCTGGTAGTTTTGACTCTCTGGCTGGAAGTTTTGTCTCAATGGCTTCTGTTGGTGTTTCTCTTGGCTGGAAGTTTTGTCTCAATGGCTTCTGTTGGTGTTTTTCTTGGCTGGAAGTTTTGTCTCAATGGCTTCTTTTTTCTCTTGTGTTTCTCTCAATGGCTGGAAGTTTTGTCTCAATGGCTTCTGTTGGTGTTTCTCTTGGCTGGAAGTTTTGTCTCAATGGCTTCTGTTGGTGTTTCTCTTGGCTGGAAGTTTTGTCTCAATGGCTTCTGTTGGTGTTTCTCTTGGCTGGAAGTTTTGTCTCAATGGCTTCTGTTGGTGTTTCTCTTGGCTGGAAGTTTTGTCTCAATGGCTTCTGTCTGTGTTTCTCTTGGCTGAAAGTTTTGTCTCAATGGCTTCTGTTGGTGTTTCTCTTGGCTGGAAGTTTTGTCTCAATGGCTTCTGTTGGTGTTTCTCTTGGCTGGAAGTTTTGTCTCAATGGCTTCTGTTGGTGTTTCTCTTGGCTGGAAGTTTTGTCTCAATGGCTTCTGTTGGTGTTTCTCTTGGCTGGAAGTTTTGTCTCAATGGCTTCTGTTGGTGTTTCTCTTGGCTGGAAGTTTTGTCTCAATGGCTTCTGTTGGTGTTTCTCTTGGCTGGAAGTTTTGTCTCAATGGCTTCTGTTGGTGTTTCTCTTGGCTGGAAGTTTTGTCTCAATGGATTCTTTCGGTGTTTCTCTTGGCTGGAAGTTTTGTCTCAATGGCTTCTGTTGTGTTTTCTGTTGTCTTGGTGCTGGAAGTTTTGTCTCAATGGCTTCTGTTGGTGTTTCTCTTGGCTGCAAGTTTTGTCTCAATGGCTTCTGTCGGTGTTTCTCTTGGCTGGAAGTTTTGTCTCAGTGGCTTCTGTTGGTGTTTCTCTTGGCTGGAAGTTTTGTCTCAATGGCTTCTGTCGGTGTTTCTCTTGGCTGGAAGTTTTGTCTCAATGGCTTCTGTTGGTGTTTCTCTTGGCTGGAAGTTTTGTCTCAATGGCTTCTGTTGGTGTTTCTCTTGGCTGGAAGTTTTGTCTCAGTGGCTTCTGTTGGTGTTTCTCTTGGCTGGAAGTTTTGTCTCAATGGCTTCTGTTGGTGTTTCTCTTGGCTGGAAGTTTTGTCTCAATGGCTTCTGTCGGTGTTTCTCTTGGCTGGAAGTTTTGTCTCAATGGCTTCTGTTGGTGTTTCTCTTGGCTGGAAGTTTTGTCTCAATGGCTTCTGTTGGTGTTTCTCTTGGCTGGAAGTTTTGTCTCAATGGCTTCTGTTGGTATTTCTCTTGGCTGGAAGTTTTGTCTCAATGGCTTCTGTTGGTGTTTCTCTTGGCTGGAAGTTTTGTCTCAATGGCTTCAATGGTGTTTCTCTTGGCTGGAAGTTTTGTCTCAATGGCTTCTGTTGGTATTTCTCTTGGCTGGAAGTTTTGTCTCAATGGCTTCTGTTGGTGTTTCTCTTGGCTGGAAGTTTTGTCTCAATGGCTTCTGTTGGTGTTTCTCTTGGCTGGAAGTTTGCCTCAATAAGTTGTATTTCCCTTTGTGGGTTCCAGGGCCCCATTGTGGAGGGAAAATATGAGCAGACCCACTGCCTCCCTGACAGGCATGTAGTAGGAGAGGGGGCCTTCTTCAAGGAGTGCATCTGCCTGAAAGGCAGGTGACCAACAATCTGCATATAGTTGAGTTAGATCAGTAAAACGGATGTGCATGCAACACTGAGGTTCTGGGACAAGACTAAAGTCCAGAGATGGACCGACAACCTGAACTTTCTGCCAGAGTTTACCTCGGGTGAATTACAAAGAAGAAGACATGTTGTATTTAGGGCAGTCTTGGAGGTCTTAATCTGTAGTCTAAGGCACCAATCTGATTCTGCAGTCTTGTATTTTGTGTACATGTTGCTGCAAAAGTCTATTGTGCCCTGTTCTGAAGCGCAGATGACTTGTTCTGATCTGTCCATAATATGGTACTCTTGTGCAAATGTTGGTGACTTTCTGATTGATTTGATTATTGTCTTCTTCTGGTGTTGGCTCTGTGGCTAAGTCGATGCCAACGCTTCGTAATGCTGGAATGCTGGGTTCGATCCCAGCTGCAGGCCATATGCCTTGCATTGGTTTCGACAGTGGTATCAAGAAAGCAATGGCAAACTACTGGACGTAAATTTGTCTAGAAAAACCACACAACAGCCAGGGGCTGTTGGGGTTGGTTCTGCAACGTCCTGTAAAGGATACGAAACTAACTTTTAACTTATTTCTGATGATAAAAGACTAGTATGCCAGGTTGTTTCTAAGACTGGATTTCTGTCGACAGACATGCAGAAGTTTCCCCTGCGCATGAAGGACAACGATCTGCTGGTGACCAAGCTGTACACCGACCCAGCCTCCGACATGGTCACTGCCCTCAGTGTCTACTTGACTCCAAAGACAAGTAAGTTGGTCTCATACTTACCAGATATTACTGTGTCGATAAGCCTAAGATGTCGTGTTTCACAGTCTCACGTGATCACGAGAATAACAGATCAGGTCAGTGTTATTTAGTGGTCGTTGCCTCATCCATACAGCTGAGCCATCCACTTACTTATCTCTTCTGTTCACATGACGGTGATGGAAGGTGCAGTTTGTGAAAGGCGAGGCAGGTGTCGACCACCAAGAAGATGGATACAAGACATTGAAGATGCATTAGCATTGAAAGCACATGGGGCCGGAGAGCTGGCTAGGGAAAGGGATACTTTCAGGCGTGCCGTGAAGAGAGCGACGTTCTGTAAAAGACTTGCTGATTTGATGATGATAATTCACATGAACAAATAACAGTTTATCTTTCTTAATCTTTTCAGCTGGAGAGGCTGAAAACCAACACTTCCAGCAAACGTTACCTTTCTTACTTCCCTATCGGCATCTGTTTATGAGATGTTTAGTTCATGAAATTGGCTGAGTTTGTGCCTGTGCAAATGTTCAGGAAGTCATGATATTCATAAATTACCTAACACTAGCATTAAGAAGGGTTTTCCTTTGTGCTAAATGACAGATTTTCTCATAAGCTTTTGTGGTTAAGGTCACAGGGTCAGTGCATGAGTCACCCGATACGTGTGTGTGTGTTTTTTTTTAAAGGCCCAATGGATTGTTGAGCTTAATGCCTCGCCTTGCAAATGTTTTATTGATTACTCCTTTCATATGTCTTTTTAATATGTCGAAAATAAAATTTAAAAATCAATAAATACATTGTTAACAAATTTATTAATGAGCTTTGTACAATTTTTTTGTTGTTTTTACATTTTGTTTTTGGAAATACTAACAGGATCATGACCTATTTTTTTTTAAAGTACACGGGGTGAAAGGGGTAAATGTTCTGCTTTCATCTTACATTATCATAAACGATAAATGATCTTTTAAGTTGCTGGAGGAAACAGTGGCACAGGAAGCTGCTGGTCACCTCACCTCATATATATTTGAAATATACAGAATTCACATGGGAGCCGCCATGGTATAGTGACTAGGCCATCGCCTATGGATCTGATGGTCATGGGTTCAAATCTGAATTGAGCAAGACTTTTTTTTCTTAAAAAAAAAATTTTGGCTCCCAGGTTGACCCAGCCTTAAATGGATACTAGGTAAAAGTCCCTGGGAAGTAAAAGTGGCCAGCGTGATGTTGGCTGCATCATCCACCGAGTGCTCTATTGGTCTTTCAAAATATAGGTCCAGCCCAATGTGCCTGAAGGCGGGGAGAAGGGTCCTTTATTTAATTTACAGCAATGACATCCCATGAAAGTATCAACTTTTTCCCTGTGTAAATTATCCTCAGGTTTGAGTGGTAACTGGATAGAGATCGCTTATGGGACAAGCTCAGGAACTGTTAGGGTGATAGTTCAACACCCAGAGACAGTGGGTCATGGGCCTCAGCTGTTCCAGACATTCACTGTCCATCGCAGCCCAGTCACCAAAGTCATGCTGTCTGAGAAGCATCTGGTATCAGGTATGCTTGTTATTGTTATAGATCTTCTTTGGGAGAGGTAGGGGCAGAGGAACATGCAGCCCAGTCACCAAAGTCCTGCTGTCTGAGAACCATCTAGTATCAGATATGCTTGTTATTGTTATAGGATCTCTAAAAATTATGGAGGAAGTGTAGGCAGAGGGAGACCAAGGAAAACAAACTTGATGCTGGGCAGTTTGGTGATATTATATTTTTTGTTTAAAGTTACTTACATATCCTGTACAGGCAGGCTGTCAGTCAAGCAGATGTATGAGTGGAGTAGGAAGTTTTAGAACACTGTGACTTCTTTGAGACTGTTCATGACAGGGTGCAACATACCTGGTTGCAACTCCAGAGTCAGTTGCAGCCATTGAGTGGCTTGTTTAGGAAAACTGCTGATTGCAGGACTGAAAGGCATGCATGCCTATACAGGACCTTCATTCACCAATGTATATCTAAAGGTTTTACCCCTTCATTTGTCAGAAAAGGGGTAACAGAATGCGGCTTCTCTTTGGTGCATGTAAAAAAAAAAAAACGACATCAGAGGCAGCTATCTTTATACGCTCATTTCGATATAACTGTGTTCATCTGCACTGTAGCACATGCTTAACACTCTTTACAGCCTTAATAACAATATTGACAGGCTACAAGACTATGGCATGGTTATTGTAATTCCTATCATATTTTCAAGGTTTTAGTTTGAAGTTCCTTAAATATTCGTATCATATACCTACATCTGTTTGTGTTTGTTGCCAGTTTGTGCTGAGTACAACCATGTGAGGACCTGGATTGTGACCAGGTTTCGAGGCATGATCTCTACACAGCCTGGTTCCACACCGCTTGCCTCATTCAAGATCGTGTCCCTGGATGATGTGGATCCACTTGTTAGTTATGCCGCTGGTAATGATTTTGGTAAGTCTGTTGTTTGACTTTCTCTTGGAAGTCTGAGTTTGTCTTTACTTTCTTTTTAAGTCTGGTGTGTGGGTTTCACTTTAAAGAATGTTTTAGTTTCTTTGTTTATCTTGTTTTTAGTGGGGGTGTAAAAGTGTGAAAAAATATAATAATCACATAGTTTACTGAAATAAATCTTGAATTAAGAGTCGACATCACAGCACTCAGGATATTTCCATAAGCGCACTGCCCCGATCTTCAGTAGCAAGTGCAGAGTTTTAATTCCTTTGGCCAAAGAATAGTCTCATTGTATGTATGTGAGCCTCGCCTTTCCCTTAAGTGTTGAATCTTGGCCAGAAGCTCTTACCCAGTTTTAATGTTTGACCCAATAGAGCAGGCTGATCTTGAAGTTGATAACTTTGTGTGTCCTATGGATCTTCATCATCTTTTCTCTACTCCTGGAATGCCTCGCGATGTCAGGGCAAAAAGAGATCTGGAACGAGCACTTCTCTTCGCTTCCTATAAAGTACTTTTCAGTGTCTCTGATATTTCTGCAGTCCCATGGATGATATTATTATGTAAATAACTTTAGTCAGACACACAAAAAGTTCCCCTATCTGTGAACGGAATCACCAGTCTTCTTTTATGCAGCTGCACATCAGTACTGATAAATTCAACAGGGGTGAAGAAATAAGAGAAATGTTTTGGCAACTGTTGGTAACAACAGGTATAAGACAAAGATCATGGCATTATATTGGACATATCCTGAGAAGAAACCAGCAGAGAATCTACCAGACAGGCACTACAATGGGAAATAAAGGGCTGAGGAAACGAGTACATCCGAAAAAAACACCTAATATGAATGTTGAGGAGAAAAACACAAAGTGGTGAACTGAATTCCACTCTTGATGTTGAAAGGATTCCACAGATCAGAACAGAATTGAGAAATAGATTGTGAGCCCTATGTGACATAGAATGGCAACACAGGATATTGATGATGTTGAGTTGAGTCAAGAATTGACATCACAGCATTCGGGGCATTCCCATGCTTGATCCATCCTTATCTTCAGCAGCCAGCGCAGAGTTCCAATACTGATGGTACCGGTCACAATCTGGTTAAAAGTCTGTCTTGCCTTTCCTCTGAGTGTAATGGTGTTATAAGTATCCAAATAACTCTTATCAGAAAGAAAGAAAGAAAAAGTTCCCTATCGCTGAAACTGAATCACCAGTCTTCTTCTCTTCTCCTCTACAACTATACAGGTCCTTTTGGGGAGCAGGATGACCAGCAACTGTTTGTGCAGAAAGTTGTCTCCAACACTGACCAGCTGTTTATCAGACAGAGCTCCAGTGGACACAGGTCAGTGAGTAGAATGTATAGTTAGTTATGTTTGGCTGAAGAATTGGGCAGCCAGAAACAGCAGCTCGGATGTTTTCAAAGATGTGAGGGTTCAGTCTTTAGGCATATAGGGCTAGACCTATATTTTTATAGATCAATTAACACAAGATGGATGATGTCGGCATCAGGCCGGCCGCCTTTACTTCCCTGGACTGCACCCGGTACCCGCTCAAGGTTGGGTCAACCCGAGAGTCAGGGTCACTTTAAAAAAAGAAGGGAGCAAACCGTTGACCTTCCGATCCGCACGTGAGCGTCTAGCCGCTACACTACGGCTACTCCTTGAACTGAAAGGCTACAGAAAAATTATTAGAATACCTTGGGTCAAGAGGAAGAAAAACATCGACATCCTGCATACCATGGGTCAAGAGGGAGAAAAACATCGACATCCTGCATACCATTTGTCAAGAGGAAGAAAAACATCGACATCCTGCATGCCATGGGTCAAGAGGAAGAAAAACATCGACATCCTGCATGCCATGGGTCAAGAGGAAGAAAAACATCGACATCCTGCATACCATGGGTCAAGAGGAAGAAAAACATCGACATCCTGCATGCCATGGGTCAAGAGAAAGAAAAACATTGACATCCTGCATACCATGGGTCAAGAGGAAGAAAAACATCGACATCCTGCATGCCATGGGTCAAGAGGAAGAAAAACATCGACATCCTGCATACCATGGGTCAAGAGGGAGAAAAACATCGACATCCTGCATGCCATGGGTCAAGAGGGAGAAAAACATCGACATCCTGCATGCCATGGGTCAAGAGAAAGAAAAACATCGACATCCTGCATGATCTGAACATCAAGAAGAATTGGCTCATAAACTGCATCCTGTCCTGGGAGTTGAGGTATTGAGGCCATTTCAAACACCATGGAAAACAAGGCAGAGGTTGAATGTGGGTACAATAAATTGAAGATGCAGTGGCTATGAAAGCACTTAGGGCTGGAGAATCTGTGTGATATAACATATTTCTCATTTCTCCCAAAAGAATCTGTGGTATAGCATATTTATCATTTCTCCCTACAGAATCTGTGGTATATTACATATTTCTAATTTCTCCCGACAGAATCTTTGTGATATAGCTTATTTCTCATTTTTCTTGACAGAATCTTTCTGATATAACATATTTCTCCTGACAGAATCTATGTGATGATGTTATATTTCTCATTTCTCCCGCCAGAATCTTGTACTGATATCATATTTCTCATTTCTCCTGTCAGAATCTGTGTGATATAGCATATTTCTAATTTCTTCCGACACAATCTGTGTGATATAACATATTTCTCATTTCTCCCAACAGAATCTGTGTGATGATAATATATTTCTCATTTCTCTTTGTGATGATATTATATTTCTCATTTCTCCCGACAGAATCTGTGTGTTATAACATATTTCTCATTTCTCCCGACAGAATCTGTGTGATGATAATATATTTCTCATTTCTCTTTGTGATGATATTATATTTCTCATTTCTCCCGACAGAATCTGTGTGTTATAACATATTTCTCATTTCTCCCGACAGAATCTGTGTGTTATAACATATTTCTCATTTCTCCCGACAGAATCTGTGTGATATAACATATATTTCTCATTTCTCCCGACAGAATCTGTGTGATATAACATATTTCTCATTTCTCCCGACAGAATCTGTGTGATATAACATATATTTCTCATTTCTCCCGACAGAATCTGTGTGATATAACATATATTTCTCATTTCTCCCGACAGAATCTGTGTGATATAACATATTTCTCATTTCTGCCTACAGAATCTGTGTGATACGTTCCGTAGATGGCAGCACAATAAGCTCTTTCTGCGTCCATGAATGTGAGGGCTCCAACAGAATGGGATCCTGCCCACGGAGGTATCTATTCACTGGACATGCTAACGGCAGCATTCAGGTACAGCCCTTACATGTGGTAGAATCTCTTCTGGTGTTTGCATGTTTCCTTCATTTCTGTCAGGCTCAGTCAGTACATGAATTATTCTAGCAGTGAGATGAAGAATTTGTATGAAATCTACAGGAAATTAATCCAAGGAAGTGTGACCTAAAATATAATAATGTTTCAAAGATACAATAACCCTTTGTGGGTTCTAGAGCCTCATTTGGGGGGGGGGGGGGGGGGAGTTTTCCTACGAAGTCAAAGTACAACTGCCGGATCAGCAAAGAAGCAACAGACTGCATATCAATAAGCCAGATCTGTAAAAACAGATCTTTTTTTTTTTCAAGTGTGTAGGCTCTGGAACAAGGCTGAAGTCCAGAAGTGGATGAATAACCGGAGCCTTCCGCCAGAGTTTACAGCCGAGGAACACTAGGAAGAAAATAAATTGATATTGTGAAGATATAAATTCCCTGTGGTTCAGCCATGGTTTCTGTTTAGTTCCTCACCAGATGGTTTTGGAGAAAAAAAAATTATGTTTTATAGTGAAGATTCTCAGCTGCATGACCAGTGGTCAGAAGTTATTCAATTCTTCTTCTCCTCCTGCAATGTTCCTTTGCTTGTGTCTTTGGCTGTTGTCTAGGGGTGTGCTCTGACACAGGGTATAGCCAAATGACTTTGGGGATTGTGAACCCTTGACTTGGGGGAATGAGTAAGCAATTCAGAAGTGTATATAGGTCGTTACAATCTGTAGAGAATGAGGCAATGGAAATGACCAGGAGATCTGGCCAACTTTCAGTGAAATAGCAAGACATAAACAGAGACTGCTGCCGGTTCCATCAGAATTGGTACTCTGCGCTGGCTGCCAAAGATGGGGATGGAGCGCATGTGGCTTATCTGTTATGATGCTGGTTCTTGACCCGGCTGACCTGAAAATACATTTACAAACTTTGATGTTGGATGTTTTCTAGATGTGGGACCTGACAACAGCTCTAGACCTGTACAAGCAAGTTGATAAAAGTAGGTGTTCTCATTGTGGCTGCAGGTTTTTTACATGTACTTTTTTGTTTTCTTGCCAGTGGCATACCAGGCATATAATGCTAGATCCATATTTTTGTTTACTAAAGAACATCCTGTTGTTGACTAAAGGACACCTTGTTGTTGACTAAAAGACACCCTGCTGTTAATTAGTGGACACTGTTGTTGACTAATGGACACCATGTTGTTAACTAATGGACACCCTGTTGTTGACTAATAGGCACCATGTTGTTAACTAATGGACATCCTGTTGTTGACTGATAGATGACACCCTGTTGTTAACTAATGGACACCCTGTTGTTGACTGATAGATGACACCCTGTTGTTGACTAATAGACACCCTGTTGTTGACTAATGGACACCCTGTTGTTGACTGATAGATGACACCCTGTTGTTGACTGATAGATGACACCCTGTTGTTGACTAATAGACACCCTGTTGTTGACTAATAGACACACTGTTGTTGACTAATAGACACCCTGTTGTTGACTAATAGACACCCTGTTGTTGACTAATAGACACCCTGTTGTTGACTAATAGACACACTGTTGTTGACTAATAGACACCCTGTTGTTGACTAATAGACACCCTGTTGTTGACTAATAGACACCCTGTTGTTGACTAATAGACACCCTGTTGTTGACTAATAGACACCCTGTTGTTGACTAATAGACACACTGTTGTTGACTAATAGACACACTGTTGTTGACTAATAGACACACTGTTGTTGACTAATAGACACCCTGTTGTTGACTAATAGACACCCTGTTGTTGACTAATAGACACCCTGTTGTTGACTAATAGACACCCTGTTGTTGACTAATAGACACACTAATAGACACACTGTTGTTGACTAATAGACACCCTGTTGTTGACTAATAGACACACTGTTGTTGACTAATAGACACACTGTTGTTGACTAATAGACACCCTGTTGTTGACTAATAGACACCCTGTTGTTGACTAATAGACACCCTGTTGTTGACTAATAGACACCCTGTTGTTGACTAATAGACACACTGTTGTTGACTAATAGACACCCTGTTGTTGACTGATAGATGACACCCTGTTGTTGACTGATAGATGACACCCTGTTGTTGACTAATAGACACCCTGTTGTTGACTGATAGATACCCTGTTGTTGACTAATAGACACCCTGTTGTTGACTGATAGATGACACCCTGTTGTTGACTAATGATCCGCGGGCCACTTGCTAGGCCTATGACGCCCGGATTCAGCCTGCCACCAGTGGAATAACCCTGGTGAATACCATTGTGGTTTTTCTTCGTTGTGGTAGTGACACTTTCCTGTTTGACTGAGTTAGTTTGAGATGCTTATTGTGGGTGTTCTTGTCCTCCGGCAGATAAACAGATGACCCAGGCAGGTCCCACAGCGGCCGAACTTGTCAGGCTGTTGGAGCAGGTGGACCTTAGCGCCTCCAGGTGCTCGACTCCTTGTGTTAGCCCCTCCCCTTCAGTCCTGGTGGGTCCAGGTAACTTAACTCTCTGCGCTGGCATATCCAGCGAGAACATGAGCCATCTCATGAGGAGGTCTGTGGCCAGCAACTGTGATAGTTCTGAAGAGGATTTGGATACAACATTGAAGGTAGGGATTTGTTGTAGGGGAGTTGTTGGGTGTGTCTGTCAGGAGAATGTCTCAATGATTTCCTGGAAACTCCCCATGTTCTGGACACTTGATAAAGTATTGGATAGAAGGTATAGATATTAACAGGGGGATCTTCTGAAACATCAACTGTATTTTACTATTGAGGGGAGAAAAACGGAGATAATAAACACATAGCTACTGAAAGGACATTCCAAATCTGTAATTTAATGAGTGAAATTGTTCATGTTCCACTGAAGACTACCAGTAAGTTAAAGTTTTTTTTTTTTGTGTGCATCTGTGCCATCGATAGTTTTTAGATCTATGGCTTTCCTGTCAACTAATTAAAATGCACCATCAGATAACTGGGTTTTATTTTTATTTTTCAACAGTATAGATAGAATAGTGGGCCTTATATATAGAGGTCTCAGTTAACCATGGAAGAACTGCAGTGATAGCCTCTACCTCCAGTCTCATAACAAAGTGTTTATGTGTGTGTCACTGTACAGTGACCCATCATTGACATCTACCCGAGATCCTGAGAAAAAGGGATAAGAGCCTCTTTTAATCTATGTTCTCCTCTACATGTATCTAAAACTGTTTCATTATATAATTGGAAGCCATGGTAGCATAGTGCTCGATACTCCCTCTCTCTCTCTCATTGGCCTTTGCTCCAAGGTTGGTGCAGCCTAAAATGGGTGCCAGAAAACATCATGAGATGCAAAGTTGGCCGGTGGGATTTTTATCGAATGCTGATTGGTCTATACAAATCTGAGTCCAACATCATATTGCCAATGCACCACTGGCATAAAAAGGGTCTACTAACATGATATCAGGCATCTTTCCCAGGGCCACTTGTAGATGTGAGACATGGACTCTGACTTAGTCTTTGAAGAAAAATATTATCAGAGTTTTTGAACTTAAATGCTACAGAAAGATTCTTACACTACATACTACATCAGGAAAACCATCAACCAGAACAGAATGGGAGTTGTTGGCCTCAAAACACTTGCAGACAAACTCAGGGGGAGATCGGAGCACTTAAAGTCATGTCTGATGAAGATGATCTCAAGAGTGAACAGGGCTGTTCAACTCAGGGGCCAACATTTTTACAATGGGGATCATCACAGGCCAGGTGCCAGAGCCCCAGCACAGAAAGATCATTATTACAATACAGCTGGCAGTCTTCTTCTTCTTCACCTTCACCAGCTGTACACTCTGGCGGAAAGTTCTGGTTGCTCGTCCACTACTGAACTGCAGTCCTGCTCCAGAACCTGAGTGTTGCGTGTGCATCAGTTTTACAGATTTCATTCTCTTGAATACAGACCGTTGGTTCCTTGCCTCTCCGGCAGATGCACTCCGACTTCAAAGGAAGCTCCCCAATTAGTCGACTCTTAAACATACTTTTGGAGAGGCAGTGAGTCTATTTTTGTTTTCCCCACAATGGGGCCCCGGAACCCACACGGGGGTCAGCTGGCAGTGATCCACGGTCCACTAGCTAGACCTCCACGGGCAGGATCTGGCCTGCAGGCTGCAGTTAAATAGCCCTGTCCTAGATGATCTAAGCACCAGTGAGAGAATTGGCTCATAAACAGCATGCTGTCCCAAAAGCTGAACTATTTTGGTCATGTTAAGCATCATGGTGGCCTGGAGGATACAGTTTCCACAAAACCAGACAGAGGCTGACCTCCACGAATGTGGATACAGGACATTGAAGATGCATTGGCTGTGAAAGCACATAGGGCTAGACAATTGGCTAGAGAAAGAGAGCAGTGTTGTCTGTAAAGGACACGCTGATTGACTAAATTATATGATTCCTTTCCACAGATGATTGACCAAGAAGGTGAGGAGGAGCAGATGGAAGAGGCTGGCCAGGCTCTGAGGTCTGCAACAGGGACTGGTCAGTCTAGCGGAGAGTCCAGGCAACCACAGAAGGACAGTTACTGGGTGTGATTATCCCAGGGGGCCGCTGATGAACTGACCAGCTTGGAAAACACTGGTTACTCTTTTAATGTCTACATGTCTTACCTCAGGGCTATTCAACTGAGTTTACTCAGACTCAAAAATTTTGAAATTGGGGATTGTCACTGGCTGGAGACCCAGGCCTGGCATAGAAACATCATTAACACAATACAGTTGGCAATGAGCTGCAGGCCGCCAGTTGAAAAGCCCTGTCTTACAGGGTATATTTCCATCTCGGATGGAGACTTACAATTGAGTATTTCTCTTCTGATGTCTTATCGGGTAAAATATTTCCGATTTGGAGGGAGACTTAACAAGTGAATATATTTTTTTGGTGATATCTTTTTGTATAAATCCAGCTTGGTGGAAGCCTTACAAGTGAACATTTCTTTGTGATGTCTTAATGGGTAAAATATTTCCAGTTAGGAGGGGGATTTACTGCAGACACTTGTCTCTGAAGGTGTATATTACCTACATTATTGTGTATATTACCAACATCGATCGATGCAGACGTAAAAAGTTGGTATTTATTCTTGAATTTGTAATTAGGTGTAATATTTCCGAAACTGAGGGCGGGAGACTTGCATATGATTATCTCTCAGTAATGGCCGACCTGTGTTACTGTATGTAATCTGTTGATATTTAAGCAGGCTTAAGGATTAATAATCCTCTTTTCTTCTTTTATCGCATTCACCAGCTGTAAACTCGGATGGAAAGTTCTGGTTGTTTGTCCACTTGTGTACTTTTAGTCTTGTTCCAGAACTCGGGGTTTTGCCTGCACATCTGTTTTACATATCTGGCTTATTTGTGTGCAGACTGTTGGTTCCTTGTCTCTCAGGCAGATACACTCCGACTTTGAAACCATCCCTAATTTATCGACTATTACGACATGCTTGTTAGTGGGAGCAGTAGGTCTGTTCTTGTTCCCACAAAACTGCATCCTGGAACACACACATGTGTGAGTGAATATTTATCTGGTGATACTTTACAAGTTGCTGTGCATGGTTTTCCTAGTTTTGGGCAGACGAAAAAGAGACAGATGTCTGGTGTGATGTCTACCCGGGAGTAAGGCTGTGAAACACAGATTTTCCATGACAGATTTCTCCTGATGTCTTTCTCATTTGTCTTACTGTATGTGATATTTCCCCAACTTTGAGACAGACCTAGCCCTCTCACCCTGGCCAAGCAAAACACCAGCCTCTTTTTCCAGCTTGCTGTAAAGGTTCATTTACGAGTTTTCTCCTTCCTAGGCAACTTTTTAAAATAACTGGTAGCAAGCAGTTGCTTTAAAAAGAGGGGGGGGGATCTTTGAAGGTGGGGGTGTCCTTGTAGAATTATAATTTATCATTAGTTACAGTGGTAACTGGTGCCTGGGTCACAGGAATAAAGACAGATCATGCTGAACATTGTTATTTTGAAGCTCACTGAGAGTAACCCAGTCAGTTTTCGTCTAATTGATGTTCATTGATTACTTCGATTATTTTTGTCTGCATATAAATTATGTTTAGGTCCATAAATAGAATTTGAACTTGTGTGTGACCTGTGTAAAAAAAATAATTGGGGGGGGGGGGGGGGGGGGGGGGGGATCAGAAATTCCCAAAATATGGGTCTTTCTTTGTTTTTGTTTTTTTTCTGCAAAAGGGTTAAAAGGAACAGAACTCTCACGATTTCTCACATTTTAATGTAAATAAATTGCCAGTTCTGGACTGTATCGCACAGATTTCTCTGATGTCTTACATTGGTTACTGGATATAACACTCCTAGCTTTGGCAGACTCCAAAATGATAAATTTCTCTAGAGATGTCTAGGTGTGTGTGTAAATAAACCCCAACTTCCAGGCTGTGCAGCGTAGATCTCCAAGTGACACATTTCTCTTATGATTCTCTTATGATATCCATGTACATTATGTGTAATAGATCCTAAATTTCAGGACTTTCCCTTATCTACTTATATTACCAGGTATAATATGTCTATATCATCACTTTTGGGGATATCTCCAGCTTTGGCAGCAGATGATCAAGTAAACCATTAGACCATACAGTATCTGTATACATTTGGATAGAAGGTGGAGACAGGTATGCTCTGTGCAGAGTGGCAAGCATCGCTGCAGAGGTCCTGTGTAGTTAGCATTCTTAGGATATTTTCTCCAAGTGATGACAGTGTTTCGGTAAATGAACAGGCAGATAGATTGGCTGGGTGTACAGTTGAGCTGATACTGAAATGTAATTGAACACAGCACAGTGAACAGAAAAATTTCAGAATAACTGGAAATGACCTTAAAATTTAAAAACAGGAACAGGAAGAGCTGTTACAAAACAAAAGATTTAAACAAATGGGGTAGAGAGATATAAATGGGGGAAACAAAAATAATAACGGTACACTGGACATTGATTCCCACAGGGCTGAGAACAAGAAACCTGTGAGTGAAACTAGCATACACTGGACATTGATTCCCACAGGGCTGAGAACAAGAAACCTGTGAGTGAAACTAGCATACACTGGACATTGATTCCCACAGGGCTGAGAACAAGAAACCTGTGAGTGAAACTGACATACACTGGACATTGATTCCCACAGGGCTGAGAACAAGAAACCTGTGAGTGAAACTGACATACACTGGACATTGATTCCCACAGGGCTGAGAACAAGAAACCTGTGAGTGAAACTAGCATACACTGGACATTGATTCCCACAGGGCTGAGAACAAGAAACCTGTGAGTGAAACTGACATACACTGGACATTGATTCCCACAGGGCTGAGAACAAGAAACCTGTGAGTGAAACTGACATACACTGGACATTGATTCCCACAGGGCTGAGAACAAGAAACCTGTGAGTGAAACTGACATACACTGGACATTGATTCCCACAGGGCTGAGAACAAGAAACCTGTGAGTGAAACTGACATACACTGGACATTGATTCCCACAGGGCTGAGAACAAGAAACCTGTGAGTGAAACTGACATACACTGGACATTGATTCCCACAGGGCTGAGAACAAGAAACCTGTGAGTGAAACTGACATACACTGAACATTCAGAGAAGCCGTAAAGTAAAGGACCCCTTTCCACGCCCTCAAGCCTGTATTCTATAGACCAATGGGCCCTTGGTGAGTGATGTGGTCAGCTTTACGCCAGCCGCCTTTGCTTCCCAGGACGCCACCTTGTACCTGTTCAAGGCTGGGTCGAACTGGAAGCCAAGGCCACTTTTGAAAAAAGTCTGGTACTGCCATGACCTGAACCAACAACCTTCCATTCTGCAGGCAAACATCTAGCTGCTACATCACGGCGGCTCCAGAAAGTGCAATAACCATAAAAATGATGACATATGTTTTTTCAGCCTGAAAACAATCATGTCATGTGTACTTAGTGATTGTTGTCACTGCAAACAATCATGTCTTGTGTACTTAGTGATGTTGTCACTGCAAACAATCATGTATTGTGTACTTAGTGATTGTTGTCACTGAAAACAAGATGTCTTGTGTACTTAGTAATGGTTGTCACTGAAAACAATCATGTCTTGTGTACTTAATGATGTTGTCACTGAAAACAATCATGTCTTGTGTACTTAGTGATGTTGTCACTGAAAACAGTCATGTCTGGTGTACTTAGTGATGTTGTCACTGAAAACAATCATGTAACAATCATGTCTTAGGCACCTAGTGATTGTTGTCACTGAAAACAATCATGTCTTAGGCACCTAGTGATTGTTGTCACTGAAAACAATCATATCTTGTGTACTTAGTGATGTTGTCACTGAAAACAATCATGTCTTAGGCACCTAGTGATTGTTGTCACTGAAAACAATCATGTCTTAGGCACCTAGTGATTGTTGTCACTGAAAACAATCATATCTTGTGTACTTAGTGATTGATGTCACTGAAAACAATCATGACTTGTGCACTGAGTGATTGATGTCACTGAAAACAATCATGTCTTGTGTACTTAGTGATTGATGTCACTGAAAACAATCATGTCTTGTGCACTGAGTGATTGATGTCACTGAAAACAATCATGTCTTGTGCACTGAGTGATTGATGTCACTGAAAACAATCATGTCTTGTGTACTGAGTGATTGATGTCACTGAAAACAATCATGTCTTGTGTACTTAGTGATTGATGTCACTGAAAACAATCATGTCTTGTGCACTGAGTGATTGATGTCACTGAAAACAATCATGTCTTGTGTACTGAGTGATTGATGTCACTGAAAACAATCATGTCTTGTGTACTGAGTGATTGATGTCACTGAAAACAATCATGTCTTGTGCACTGAGTGATTGATGTCACTGAAAACAATCATGTCTTGTGCACTGAGTGATTGATGTCACTGAAAACAATCATGTCTTGTGCACTGAGTGATTGATGTCACAACTATTGCACACTTCCCATGTTTTATATTGCATTGTACGATTGTTGTTGTTTCAGATATGAACTTATGAAGAAATCAGTCTATGACGGGAGAAATGTAACCAGGCTTTGTTTAACGTTAGCAGGCCACTTCTGAAGACTTTCAACAATATTTTGTTTGTTGATTATATATTGACAGTAACTTTTCAGTAACTTAAAACAAAGATTATTTAAGATCTTTTTACAAATTTATCTGTTTTATTCCATATACATTTGTTTCATGTTTATTATATTGTTTTGGTAAATTGAAGTATTAATAATATGAATGTATTGACAGTGTTTTCTGTTCTGTTTGATAATAATGTTTATTTCAATATTAGCATTGCTTTCTGTTGTATGCATTCACAACTGCTTGTAATTAAACATCCTGGCAGTACTTTTGTCAGTTGATTAGATCCATGGTAACACAGTTACAACTGGGGCTCTCCATATGGGTTCTGGAGCCGCAGTGTGGGACAAAACAATAGACCCACTGCTTCCCTATCGAGCATGTTGTAGAATCGACTAATTGGGGGGCTTTCTTTGAACTCGGAGTGCATCTGCCTGAGAGGCAAGAAACCAACAATCTGCATAAAAATCAA